TGGACCTTTCACCTTGCGGTTCTTCGCCATCCTTCCCATCGGAGAAACTGAGCTAACTGAATACAAATTGTCGAAGTGCACACCTGTTTCCAAGGTTTGTGCCTGGTAAGTATGCCTGCCGTAGATTTCATTAGAAGGCCGGATGCTACTAGTAGCACCTGGCCTTGCTACTAGGAACCAAACTAAAATTAAAACAGCGCGAGCAAAAAGAGGCAGGGGAACTGTCAGAAGTGACAGTCCAACGAAGAGGCTTCTGTGGCGATTCTGATATCACTGGAGACGTCCAGTGACGTACCTGCGACCAACTTTTGAACTGTTGAACAAGCTGTCTACTACGGTGTTTTGCAGTAAACGGCTAATGCATTTCCAAACCTTGTTCAACATTTACAAGTTCGCCGACTCCACCACCTTTCGGTTCATCAAGTCAAGGGGGACTTCATTCTGATCCTAGCTCTTGCGAGCAACCATCTAAGTGTGTGTCATGTTGCATGTTCTTCGTTCAATCATGATTTATTGCTGTATCCTACAATGATCTATAATGGAGTAGATACTGAATCGTCTTCATTTCCTAAGTGTTTTGTGTTGCATGTGTTGGAGCCAAACTCAAATCCCCAGAATTTATACTTTCCCTGTGTTCAATGCCGTTGGACTGTACACCCTCCAGGCCGCGAGGACACTTTGGAGCGCGCTCACCGGGAGATGCTCATGGGCAACGCTGGGGGTCCCAGGGGGCCGAGCATGGCTGCACGGAAAAGGGCAGCTGCACCCAACACAGGTCAATCAGTTTCATTTAAGTTTCTTGTTACGTTGGTTTTTGTTATTTTTTCTTGTTACTATATAGCGATGGCCTCCAACCTACTTGTGATGGCCTCCACCTAATAGTTTCTTGCTACTAGTAAGGAACACATGTCAATCTCGTTGGAATCTCCGGAGGCGGTCGAAGGTATTTTTGACCCTTCGAGGGTACCCCCCAAAGTGGGTCAAGTCTGACAAAGAAGGCCAGTCATGGGCCCAAAAGCGCGAACGGACCAATAGAAGCCCCCCGGGTACTATCAGAGGTCAGAGGCACGAGTCGTCACCATATTGGGAGTTCCAGATGGCCGAATTCTGTTTGGACGGCGCCTGTGTTCTGAAAACACCGGGTTTCAGATTGTTTCAGCCCGGTCGCAACATGGAGACATCATGGTTCCTACAATTGGGGCTCCTGTCCTACCTCCTTGGAAGCTAGCTACCTCCTGTCTCCTGTCATACCTCCTACCAGACCTCAGATACTTGGAGCCTTAAGAGAGTAGTCTTTCCTTTTTGAAAAGCATGCATGAGTGAAATGGGGATGGCTCGTTCAACCCACCATGTGAGCTACAGTTCCCGGAACGTTGTCCGGCTGGGCGCTGTGCCCAGGGCCCACGACCAGATCTCGAGCCGCTTGGAGTCTAAAGATCTCTGACCCCCTCAGGATAAGCCCTAGGGCTCCTGGCCTACCTCCATTTCGAAAATGGTTGGGGTGGGTTTGGGTTCCTGGCTTTCGAAGATGGTTGGGGTGGATGCTAGGGGTCCAACCCCCGAGCTCGGAGGCCCACTCTCGTCGACGCTTCGCGTCGCGAAGCGCGTCCCCTCGCTGCGAAAGCAAGCATCACTCGTCGACGTCGATGAAGTTCTGTCGGAGCTGGCGGTTTGACAGGTGCCGGGAGTGTTTGACAGGTTTTCTGATATGCCCAGCCAAGGTTTTCCGATAGGGAGAGGGGATCCCTCAGAGATCCGAACTGGAAGGACGGAAACCTCCAAAGCCAAACACATGCGAAAGAGGACCTCATGGATCTTTTGATCTTTTGGAAGAAACTCCTGCGCCATGCAGTGCCCAGAACCCCGAGAACTAGTCTTAGGACCTGGGATTTTTTAGTTGTCTCGGGTGTGTCTCAAATTGGTGGGATACCATTGGTATTCATACAGGTTGACGTAACCTGGTGAGTTCTTCCGAAGCTGCGGCTGCTGAAACATGTTCTGCGAGGAAGGAAAGCACATGGGGCTGAAGGTGAAAGTACGGACCCAAATATGCCAACATCACTAGATCATACCAAATCAATGAATTGGTTTATGGGAAAATCTGCCGGAAACCCATCCTTTTTGGTGGTAAAAACCGTTGTTTCCTCTAGAGTTTCCCTTAAACCAATTCATTCAACCAAATCACCTTTCCTTTCGGTTGCTGGTTGGAAATTTCGACTGCCAAAAAAAGAAAAGTCACACATAAGCATCAGCACTGCCATGAATCCTTCCTGAGGCGTCTACTTCTTTTGCAATCGGTTTTGTGGTCGGTTGGGGCCCTCCACAGCTGGCAGGGTGCCACCTGTTGACGTTTTTGCTCGGTTCGCGACGGTGAACAGGGGTCCAACCTACCCGCCTCGCTGTTGCATTGCTGTTGCATAGACTTAGGTCGACTCGACCGGAGGCACCTCCAGTGGCAACACATAGTACGGGTGTCCAGATGGTGGGCAAAGGATGCGGCAAAGACTGAGTTTTCTGAAGGATTTAAACAACAAGTTTACGACAATGTTCAATCGATGTGGAGGCTCGGATCATTGGTTTGTGTTCCTTAACTGAAAGTGTGTATGATGGGAGGTCCTGAGAGAAGCATGCTCATATCAAAAGGGGGTGTCTCATTACCAGGAACAGTCTGTAAACGATTATCGCTATTTTTGGGGAATAGGTCTTTACCACCATCATCATCATCATCATCATCCACTGGGGCCTGGTACTGTAGCGAGATGTACCCAACTGTTACTTGACTGGGGTGTGTGGTTACAGCCCTGTTCAACCAAAAATGACTTGCGAGAAGCAGTCGACTCCTAAATCATCTCAATCATATATCGCCTACTTGGAGTCTCAAAGTACTTGTACCTCGTACATTTCCCTACACCTCCAAATACCTCCTCGAAAGGTATTTGGAACCTCCAAACCCACCCCGAAACACATTCTCAGAAGGTACTTGGAGGCCTAGGCTTTGGTACAAGTCTACGAGTCCCTAGGGCTCCTGGCCGCCCCCTCCGTTTCGGTTCGGTGGGCCAGGGCTGGGTACCAGGGGGGTTTGTGCCGAACCTGAGGAGATGGGCCAGGCCAGGAGCCCCACTCATTGGTCCTATAGGTTCACCCGTTCACCGCCTGTGCCGTGTTGAGGCACTTCATCTTCTCCATCCAGAACCGTCCAAGGCGTCGGGGAAGGCGTGTCTTTTGGCATGTCGTGAAACCTTCTGAATATCCTTTGGCGCAGATACTGCATACATAATGAATATGCTGGGGAAAGCTGAACATCTGGCTGTTCAGTTCGTAACCAAAGTTGATATCCTGGCTTGAGGTTCCAAGCAGACCGGCAAAAGGTCACTGAATCGGACTCCAAAAAGGTGACGCAACTGAAGAAGCTTGGGGCTTCTTGTCCCAGCTTTGACAGCTGACCTTGGGTCGGAAAGCACTTCAGGAGCTTTCCAGAGCCTCATGGTGGTCACACCGGGCCAAAAAGATCAAATTAAATCATATGTGTTTATTTTAAAGAAAAAGAACAACACTATATCAACAAAAACCTATCTGCCAGGACCTTCAGGCCACGTGATCGAAGCTTCGTTACCTCAAACGGAGTCTCTAATAGTGGACACCGTGACCTGTTCGTGCCCTGAAAAATCACCGTCCAGGTGGTCACACAAACCCTAGGGCTCCAGTCGTACCTCCTCAGAAGGTATGACTGGATATTTCACCTCAGAAGGTGCTTGGAGCCTTAGGGACAAGAAGCAGACCATTTTTTTTTGATCCAGAATCCAGTGGACAGGCACAGTCACGGATGTCGAAAATGAGTAAGTTGAGTCCTCAGATGTCGCATGGGACACTGGAAGCACACTGGAAGCACGCCATCACCACCGTAGGGGTGAGCAAAAGATGTGCCCCGTGGGTGAACGGACGATGTTCTTCATCCCCAGCTTCTGGGGAGCTGCAAATCCAAGCAAGTTTTGGAATCAAGATGCCACGGAAGTTGTTTTCGTATAGAGGCCACGCACGCTTAACTCTTTCTGGAGGCCACAGCCCTGCTGGACAGAGTGCATCTATGTGCATCTTTGCAAGTTTCCCCCCCAAATCACTTCCACAACAACGGCCACGCAACAGGTTCAACCTCTTCTCCCTCCAGGCCCCGAGGCGGACTGAATCGGCCCGTGTCTTCTGTGCGCGCTAGATTTACGGGTAGATCTCGAGTCTCGAGGCGTGGACCTTCCTGTGAATGTTTGGTAGTCTCCCTAGCACTCCCGGCCCATATTGTCAGGTGGTATTCGACCCCCCTGGCACCCACCCCTGGCCCACCTTCGAAATGGAGCTAGGCCAGGAGCCCTAGTGGTGGTAGAGGCTGTGTAGCTCAAGACATGGGGAGACTGACCTCCCAGCAAGAAAAAAGACCCTGGGCTCGGTGAAGGGAAATAGACCAGGCAGGCAGTCTACCCCAACACCTCGGGGCCGGAAATTCCAGACCCGGATATTCAAATCATGCAGGCCCAGATCATCCCATCCCGAGATCTACACTCCCGATCCACCTCACATGGAACAGGGCGACCGGCATGGACCAGACTGGAAGACGATGTTCCTCTAAAACCCGACGTGGTGAACTCAGGTTCCATGTGGACCTCTTCCCGAGATCGGTCGGTCTGATTCGATGGACCCAAGACCGAAACGAAGAAGCTAATGGTCGACCGACGCTTCCCGTCGGTCGACGCGGCGTCAGGCGCCGCCGCGGCCGCGAGTCCGGGTGGCTCGCCCTTCTTTGTGGAGCCGAACCAGGCTGCGTCGGCTGCGTCCGCGGCGTCCGGAGGTCGCGTCCGTCCGGACGGGTGTTGATCCACAACCGGTGGGTCGGTCGAGAACCCCTCCGTGTGAAGATGCGGTTGGTTCCATTTGGCCTCGGCTGTTCTTAGGTCTTGTTTCATCAGCCATCATGCATGCTGATGTCATGATTGTCCATCCTAAGAGGTTTTGTTCTATATAGACTTTCGAACAGGGCCTTACTGCACGAGAAATGAAGAAGGAGGATCCCTGATAAAAATGGACAGTTCCAACTCCAAGATGCTTTGCGGATGGGTTGAAGAGCTGGCAGTCGGGTTCAGCATGCGGATGGGTCCAAGCTGCTGGACACAGCAAGAAGTGGTGCACTACAAGATGGAGTTTACTCGGGTCACAAAAGCCAAAAAGAACACAGTTATCTTTGAAACTCAGACCTTGGATCAAGTTTGGAGACAGAACAGTTTTGCCCACAGACTCAGAGAGCAGAACAGGCTCAGAGCAGAACAGGCTCGCTACGCTTGGTCTTTTGCTTTTCCGGTTGTACCCAAATGGAACACTCGGTCTGACACGAGCGGGCGGTCCGCGGTCCGCTGACTGCGGTCCAATAGACTGAGAGAGGTCAACAGCTCGATAGGGGACCGAAACGAGTACAGATATGAAAATCGGTTCAGGAACACAAGATTGGCTACCACATGACGGCAATTTTGGCCGAAACGAGAGTTCAAACGGAAGTGGGCCGTTTAGTGAGGGAGCTAATTAGGGTTTCAATACGTTTCAATTAAAAGCCGGGACCATGAGAAGACGGAGCAGTGGGCACAACCTGGTGCCAACATATTAAAGTATGGTTCAATCAGAGTGCTGTCTTCTAAAACAGATGTGCAAATTATAAGAAACACAGACAGAGTCGCAGTGACACCCCTCATGCTGATAAACGAAAGAAGACTTGTCCAAAAGCAGGCCCGCCAAAGTTTACACTTGTGCATTTTGCCATTCTACTGGTGAACCAACATTCAAAACACTCATGAATAATGCTGAAATGGGATAAACATACACTGCCAATTTAAACGCTTTCAAGACAAAATGAACCCTGGTGGCACTTTTGACACGTGCCCTCAACATGACCAGGTCCAAAATCACCGGATCACTACCAGCGCCTGTACGTACCTTGTTTCAGTGTCGAGCTCCAGTGCTTGCCCTTTACTATTTTAGTATAGGTAGGAGTTGCTATTGATTCCAAGTGTACTGATGATATCATCATATGAGTTCTTTTAACAAACATATGGTAATTTAATGTCAATACTGAAATCATGACCATTAATCTTTTTAAGACAAATCACCAGAAACAGCTGTTGCTATTGCCAATCTCTTTTAGATGCTACTGCAAGCATTAAAACATTATAATATTGTCCGAGACTTGAGAGTAATGTTTGTAATATGTGTAGTACTAATTGGGATGCTACCAGCAAAAGTGCGTTTGAGGGGCACTGCTGGCGAATTCTGCGCCAATCAGCTGCATTTCTAGACGCCACCACAGTACCAGCCGATGACGAGCTGCCCATAAAGATGCACAAAAGCTCAATGTTTAGAGGCATTCCACTGGAGGTCACCAATGAGATCGGGTGTTTTTTCGCTTTTGGAGGGTCTAGGAATACCTTCTGTGAACTACCTCCTTTATGCAGGGGCTCCTGTCCCATCCTCGGTATACCCCAACCACCGAAGCGGCACCGAGACGGCGAGACCGGCGATACGACGTCTCAGTCCACGGTCCGACGTCTCAGGACAGCAGTACGACCACGGTAAGCACCAAAAGGCCGGAGTTCAAGGTACGGTACGTAGAGGTGATCCGATCCGTCCCTTTTTGAAGCCAGCGTTCGAATCAGTCTACGAAAAACCGGTTTCCTTGTCATGTGGTCCATGAAGCAGACTTCTTCTGTATTGATTTTGGCTTGACCTGACTTTCAACTGGAAAGGAATGTATAGTTGGTAGATGAGATTGGGGGGAATGGGGAATATGAAGATGCTGACCCAGACAGAATTGGAAAACAACTGCATTTTGACTGATGACCATCTCTATTGCATCTCTATTGACAATACTCACTGTAGAGTCTTGAACCGACCATTTGAATTCTATATCTCTATATAGTATATATCTTTTAACGACCCAAGTCCTTCCGTTTAAAGGGTAGCATTGCTTGGATATCAGTAGCATCTGAATGAGCATCTCAAGTGAAAAGTAGTGGATGAGGTATGCGATTGCACGACACGACCTGAAGTGTTTGCATTTGTTGGATGACCACCTGTCAGCTCCACAACCATCTCCATACGGCCAATATGACACAGGAGATCAGCAGGTCCAACGGATCGGTCGTCGACCGGTGTTGGCCCGGCCTCGGCCCATCTCAGACCCGACCAGCTCAGAAACCACGAGTCATGTTGGAAGAACACCGCCAGGCAGGAGGATGAGGCGCAGCGCGAAGAACCTGAGGTGGACATATTCTGCTGGAACCACCAGTTTCGGAGAGCAGAGAGAACAGTGTTTGAGCTTTCTATGTCTTGTTTCTTTTTTCACGGGACTCGTGTGGATGGTGTCAAGAACACCTGGACCCAGAGACTACTGGACCATGGATGTGTTGAGAGATCGCACTTTGAGAGAGATATGAATTGAATTTTGGTCACGAATTCCTATGCACTGTCACCACTGGTATTGGTTCCCAGATTTGGGGCACGGGTTCAAGGTTCCTATATGACTCATATGATTTGGGTCTGTCCGACTGTCCTCTGAAACCTGTAGAGCCGTCAGTAAACAAGAACATCGCTATGTTTGAACAAGGCCTGCAACTAAACCATCATCATCCACTGGGCTTGGATGACATGGATTAGGCCCAACATATGAGTCGCACCTGGTCACCGGGTTTTGCGCACTTCTTCGGCCCGTTTTTCGTTTTGACTCTGCAGAGTCGTCAATGGGACACCGAGATGATACCGTGCCATGAGGATCCCAGTCTGGAATATCGAAAAGATGTCTTTTGATGTCATTTTCTTTGGATTCCGCGGATGCTTCTTGGGAAGGATTGGGAGGGTCCATGTTATAGGGGATGTGAATGAGTCTTTCTCACCCGGGTCTCACAAAACTGTCCTTGCTGGATGTGCAATGGATTCAGAGGTAGCCGCACATGTACTGGGCAGTCAGGTTCACGTGCATGTACAGTCTAGTGGGATTCCTTCCCACTCCAACTGCATTCAGCGAAGATTGGGCCCTGAAAGATCGACGATGTGTTCATCCATGCCGGCATCGTCCTGGTCTTGCTTAGAAGGGTCATTCTTTGTTTTTCAGATGGGCAACTCCTTCTTCTAGTTAGTTCCACTTCCAGCAAACCATCGCCAGTGTGGGTGGTCTAGAGTGGGGGATGGGTCGTAACCCACCATGTTCGCCCTGGTCCACTATGTGGCGACTTCGGCCAAGGTATCCTGGTGACCCACAGCCAGCTCGGCCAAGACACGGCCCACCCAACCCCCAGCCGTCCGAGCACAGGTACAGCACAGCTCGCAGCCACGAAACGCCCGGGAGTTGGGTTGGCCCAGATGGAAGCGGCATGACTCAGGTGTGACCCCGTGGTGGCTTGGTGTAAGTATTTCTGTGCACCCTTGATGCATGTTTTGATTGAAAACCCCTCTTCATAGGGGGTTATTGATCAAGGGTCTACATTTGCTGAAGAAAGTCATTGAGTGTTTATGTGGTGTCAATGCGCAATCATAGTGTGAGTAAAGTAGTGATATATTGAATACATGACCACGTCCCAACTCCACTTATTTATGCCAATACTTTTTGTTTGTGTGCCGATGCAGCTTGAGGAGGCTCGAAGTACCAGTCATGATGTGAAGCAGCAAGTACCTTTGCCCCTCAGTGGGTCAGGAATTCAAACAAGAATATGGGCGCAGGTGAGGGTTGCTAGATTTTAGAAGAGGATCCCACCTCTCCTCTCTCCTCTCTCCTCTCCTCTCTCCTTTTTCCTGAAGAATCTGACAGTTGGCCCAGTCTTCACTCACCTTGACCAGGGTTCACTTGCTGAATCATGGAGACCAGCAGCCCCACGTGCGCTTGCGCTTGCGCGGTTCAACCCCCACATATACCCGGGCTGTTGTGCGAAAACCGGATCCATCAAGGCGGATGCCCGTGCTGCCGCCCAGCGGAAGGCAGCATCCCGCAAGGATGCCACTGTCGACCCTATAAGGAGGTGCTCGTCACCTTCAGGCGATGCGACAGAAGAAGAAGTTGAGTGGTGGTGCTGCTCGCTGCGGTCGACTCGACTGTTCCACTCCAAGTGGCCATTGATTCCAGAGGTGGTGCCCGAAGAGAAACACTTCAGACATGGGGTTCGTGAAGGCATTGCGGCCGGCTGCTTTGTGGAAGCCGAGAAGACAAAGTTGCAATATGCATACTCTGAGACCCTTAGCCCCTTTAGTTCATAAAGGATTGATTTACTACAAAAACCCTACTGTATCCTACTGTAGTTTGGTTATATAAACCCTGAGCAGAAGATCTGTTCAGAATGGTGATTCGTCCCAACCAAACCCAGCCACTGCATGAGACTAGTGACTATTGTATTGATACAATTTTATAGCCTTTATACCAGGGTATCCGCAGTCGGGGCGTCTACAAACAAGCCAAGACAAGATGTGATTCCGGGTGCTGGGTTCAATTCCAATTATTTCTTACATGCAGCGGACTTGGATCCATCGCCAGAACATCCTTGGGATTCCTTGGGCTGGAAATGGCTGGAACTTATATAATGTTGGGATGTCGTGTCAACATCCCTGCGGCCGCCTCAGCCTGTTGGTGGGATGTTTGGAGCTTGAGGTGTCGCGGCTAGCCATAGGTGATAGACCAACAAAAATACCACATATTATTCCAAAATAAAATGTGAAATTACATGAGATGGCCATCTATCCTGGCCATCTATCTGTCCTCGGAAACATCCCACACGCCAAGGCCATCTTCGCCCACACGGTTACCCAAGGCTGGGTTCTTCGTGTTCGCGCGCGTGGAAAGCCTTTGGGCAGGCTATATATATACGTGTTTTACGTCGTGTTCTTTTGGGAGGGTTCTTTAACTTGTTTTGATATGTTTCTTGGGTGGGGGGCATACTTTTGGGTCATATTTCAATCGATTGTTGGTTGAAAAACATGAACAACTTCCGAGGAGTCCCAGCACGGCAACACTCATTGGCGGGTAATTACAGGAGATAGGAACCTTGAGGATGGATCCACAATCTATGTTTTTTTTGCTGGATCTTTCTCCATTTGTGCCAGGGGTTCTTGGGGAGGTTGGAATCACCACACCCACGTCACAATGTATGACAAATTTCACAGCTAAGCGTGAAATGACACAAAATGAACATGTCTATCCTCCGTGGCCGCCAGGACCCTCCAACCGGTGGGTGGCTGGCACCTGGGTCATACCAGGAACCACCTGGTATGGCCGGGTGCTCCGCCCGGGGGATATAAGTCTTGTTGTCCATTTGCCTGGTTCCTGGGAGCTGCAAATCCAGTCATGTATCAAAAGGCAAAATATAGATGTTGAGTCGAGATGAGATGCATATACCAGGCCCCTCCAAGGGGTGTTCAATGAAGTACCCATGAAGTACCCCACACTACCTTTAGGCTTCCATTGGGCACCCCTTGGAGGGTCCTGGCATGTTGTCTTGTTTCTTGCAAGTATGGTTTTGAATGTTGGTTGTTTTTTAATGGACTCTACCTGGTTCTTCAAAGTGACCTTACCTTTGCATCAGGTCACCTAGGCCTTTGTGAGTGGTCCCTTGATCGGGATCAGCCAGGAAATCCTGCGGAAGCGGAAAGGTGCCTGCCTGAGCAGGTTGATCAGAGCTTTCACCAGAGCAGGACCTGTTTCTTGTGACCACAAGATTGATGCAGATGGTGAAAACTTCTTGTGGCCCTCAGAACTGTTTTTTTTTAGATAGCCTTTTATTTGTAGTTGTTGGGGGAATGTACATCCATCATCATGTATACCTCCAATTCCACAGGTGTTTAGAGGGTTTTAAAAGATATGATTGGCTCATGGAGTGCCTGCCGGTTCGCTGAAGCGATTGGTTCGCATCGAATCCAAGCCATCCTTGCATGGTGGGTGAAAGTCATGGATGATGTCAATCTTCATTTCAAGCTTGGTTCACATCTTTGCCCCTGTTTTCTTTACTTATCTATTTGGTGGCTCACGATTCTCGAGATTTCCTCAGCACCGTGCCACCAGCTTCCGAAAGTGACTTCCCTCAGCTTCCCAAAGCCACCTCAGCCACCTCAGCCTCTGAGGCCCCTCACTCCGGTCCTCCCGCAACTCCTCCTTCGTGATGCGGCATCAACGTAGCTCCGTGCCCCTTGGTTTGAACGGTGAGCCCGGACTGGCCTGTGCAGTCCCAGGTTCGGTGGGGTGAGTGAAAATACCCCCTGGCACGCACCGCACTCAAACCCAACCGCCCACCTGGTTCGAAACGGAGGTTCCGTAGTTGAAGCCCTACAAGGAGTGAGGATTCATGGGATGTCCCAAATTATCAAACATGTCCGGTAGACTTTGTTCACAGTAAGCACTATAGACCTTGTTTTTCTTTGGGGGGGCAGTTCATATGTGCCAGTACCTCTGGCTGGATAGAGGGATGAGCGGAAATAGCCGGATCACCCTTATTGACCCAGCACCTGTGTTCCTAGTGATGCCAAGGCCTCATGTGATTGTCGACACTGAACCCCCACAAGGGTGCCCGATTCTATGCCAGACGGTTGAGGACGGTCGCATGGATCTTTTGTCGGTAGTTCTGCCCAGGTCATACCCTTCTACAAGTGTTGCTTTCATATTTACCTTTGCGCTTCCACAGCACGAGTGTGATAGTGACTCTGAATGTTATCTCTATTGGGGAAGACGTAAATATGAATACTGGCAAGATATACAGTTGCAGAAAGTCACTGGCAATATCACGATGTTGGAAGAGGGCTACAGCCAGTCTCTCGACACTTCGGGATAAAAGGATACCTGAAGCAGTTTGATGCGCAAACAGTACTGGCAAACGCCATTGTCATGTCGCAAGCTGTGAAGCTGTGGACCTTCGGCTGGATCATGCGCGTCATCATGACGCGGCTTGGGTTGTCAGGATCCTGACGACTGGACCTCTTCATGAGAATGACAAAATCAGGCAACAATGGCTCAGCGAACTTGAGAGCACGACGGAGGTGTCTCAGGTTGTGGTCAATTTCGAATGCACCACCACCGCTTTGCCTGATGATGATGCCAGCACTTTGACAGTGAATGGGAATACACTTTCTTCGTTTCCATCACGTCCGACGCACAGACTCGGCGATTCAGGAATCCAAACCAGGTGCCAAGTCATTTTGGAGCTTGACCACTACAACGGGAGCGAAACTCCCTACGGGAGGATACTTCACTCTCGTGACGGCACTCTCTTGGAGCGTGTGTTCGGAAATGCAGCTCTCCTGTCCGCAGCGTTGAACCCCACCAATGCTCTCGATGACAGAATTGTGAGACTAGTCCTTTCACAGGCGAGCGCAGTTCTCATCTTTGAGCACACAGTGAAGGCCAATGTGGCCTTGGAGCAACTGTCATTCTCAAAGACAGTCGTGTGTCGCTTCGATGGTAGCTGGTCGCGCCTCGACGTTCAGAACGCAACAGAATTGCGTCAGTTCATTGGTCAACGCGTGATTCTTCGCAGGGGCATGGTGATGCAACAATTGGTGCTATCGACCATCCCTTTGATCTCAGCACCAGAACAGCTCTGCTACTATTCTCTCTTCAGGAACGAGTTCGAAGCGACTTATGGCCAAGGAGTATTCCGAGAGTCCTTTTGCGCACCATAGTGCCGGGAGCCTATGTGAAGCTCTACGAGTGGACCAGACGTAGGGAGGATTCCTCATCGACAAGCTGTGGGAGTACAGGAAAGTACAGGAAACGACGAGGATGTATTCTCGTGGTCTTCTGAGTATGATGGAGGGAACACTGCAACTCCAATCTCAGAAGGAAGTCGCGAAGAGGACTCTCATAACAATGATGAGGTACCCCACCAAAACCAAGCTTCTAGCCGAATAGTTTGGCAGACGGCTGGACGTTGGACGAGGAGGTTTCGATCTGAAGACCAAGTAGATGAAACGACCTTCTTTCAAGCTTATATTGAGGATCATGACCTTCGGGACATTGGAACAGCTGTTGACACGGATGAAGGCAGTCTTATGCAATGGCTCGGAGCTGAACCTGAAGAAGCCTCAGTTTCAGCTGTGGCCTCGCATTCTATGTCTTCCGAAGATCATCCCTCAGCATTGGCGTCAGGCTTCAATGAGCCCCAGTGCAATACTGACTTTGACTGGCTTACGTCATGCAAAGCAGTCCGAAGGTACATATGTGAGTATTATGATGCACTTACTAGGAGGCAGCGTCAAATTTTGGTTCATGTTGTTGCCCAGCACCGGGGTACAACAACCGCGTGTGGTACTTATTGTCCAAATGCGCTGCTCGACTCACAAGTGGCCATGTCCCGCTTCACAGATTGGTGCGAAGAGTACACCTTTCCTTTTGATCAGGCTTATACACGTGCTTTTCCGGTGTCTGTTGAACTCTACCAAAACCTCCCAGCCATTGTTGTTGTGCAGCATCTCGAAGATGGTATTCTACCATTGGCTGTGGAGGTTATCACTGACGCCCACCGAATACACCTTGTGATGATGGCGCAGAGTCACGAGTTTGTTTCAGAGATTATGGACTGGACACACACGCAAACCGAGGTAAGACTGCCGTATGTTCTGACTTACCAAGACCAGCGAGCCACCTATTGGCAAAGGCTGTCGATTGTGGCAGGAGCCGTTCTACGAGTCCGATGTGTCACAGATGCAGAGCTCGACAACCCAGTACAGTCGACTGTTGAAACAGGACCGTCACTGGAATACTATAGCCATGCAACGTGGTCGTCTCTGCATACTAATCCAGAGCCTGAACACCCTTGTGAAGAATGCCAAGAAACAGAGGAGCACACGCTTCTACAAGCAAGTGTTTTGATGCAGAACATAGTTGCTGTCATTTTGCCATATAATGCTCCACCTGAGATTGGGGATATACACTACTAGGGAGAGAACAATCCACAAAGACGTTAGTTTGACATGCAATGCTCCTCCTGAGATCGAGGATATAGACTACCCTAGGGAGAGAGCAATTCGCGAAGATGTTGATGCCATGGATGAGCAGTGTTTTTTCCAATTCCAGGAAGGTCCAAAGACTTGCCACTGGTATCGAAGGCCATTTCAGCTTGAACCTGAAGATACAGTGGAACAAGAAAGAGACCGATTCCTTGAATGGAGACGGAAAAGGTTGAACTTACCAGGAGAACCACGACTTGGTGGAATTCCCCGCAAGTCTATGCTGAGTCTACGTGGTATCTTGCTGCGAGATCCTACTGGCCTGATTTCGTATTCTATACAACAAGAGACCAGAAGGTTGTTCATTGGGGCCTGGCAGTTGATGAGCTTTTCGTCTTAGAACAGCATGAATTCGCTACGGTCATCCGTGACTTTGTGAGTCAAAGAATTTCCATGGAAGTCAAGACGCAGTTGCTGCAGGTTGTACCATTGCCAGACATCCATGAGCAAGACGGAGAAGACGATATATATATATATATCCTCATTGATGAACTACCTCTGCAGTCTGAAATCCCGGTGATGGTTAGCCTATGGGTGCAAGAAGCAGACAGATCACCAGAATTGTCTGCCCATCGACTTCCAACCCGAGTCGAGACAGCGACTTTGCTTGAGCAGTATGGCCTCCACGAGGTTTGTATGCATCGGTTGTGCTCATGCATTGTTAGTCACTTCCAGGCTGAACTGCTCCTCATGGTGGCATGGAAACCATTTCCTGGGATGAAGATTGACATCCGGGTCCGGATGCTACAAGATGAAGAGAGTTGTGAAGGAGGTGTTGAACAATCGAATATGACTGACTCCCACGAACACAACCCAAATGGCTAGCTTAGGATGCCAAGCCTATCCTGACATGATAGCGCCGGCTTTAAACAAAGCTTGTTTCAACTGGAGGGGCGCGTTGGGTTGACTCAACCATTTGAGACAGAATTTGCACGGAAGGTTTGCTACACAGATGCTCTACTTACATGTTTGAAGTATATAACTAATATTGATTCGTGACACTAAAGTTGGACCCGAATCCAACCCAAAGGAAAACAACGAGAGCAGCAGAGACAGATGTGCAGCAATTAGATCCAAGGTTCCCGAGAGCGAGATGTCAACACCGCCTTGGCAGAGTGGTACTGGTTGAAACTCGGTTTTGCGGTTGACTTGAAAGAAGACATCCAGGAGGTGCATGACATTGTGGACAGAAATGAACCAGCACTTTTGACAGGTTCACCCCCATGTCGTGATCACCGTAGTGGGCATGGAAGGGGTTTCAAATCGAAAGGGCAGCAAACGCAGTTTTCAAGCTGTGTCTCAAATGAAGAAGACCAAAGAGCTCTCTCGTGAGCATGGCACTGGACGCCGTGGCTTCACGCCCATGCAGCCCGGCACCTACAAGGTGTCCATCGAGGAGTTGAAGAAGCGCACTCGTTGTGGAGTTTGCAAACAAGTTGGCCATTGGCACAAGGACAAAGAATGTCCTGGAATGCCTCCGACCGCTGGCAAGGAGATCCAGTTTTTGCAGTCGGAGTCTGAGGAGGCAATGTTTATTCACTCACATGTTTCCCAACTCCAGAACTTGAATCGGAAGAACATCAGATGTGAGAAGAAGGAAGATGGATGATGCAATCCTTCACTTGCATACAAGCGTTGAGTTGTATACAAAAAGCATCACGCTGGACGCAAGTTCCTTCATGAAGCCCCATGGGCAGCAACAAGCTGGAAAGACGAGAAGGTCGAGGCACTAGCCAAAGAAGTTGGAGTGTTTGTGGTCAAAGGACCTATGCGTAAGGGTTGCCCGAGATTTGCGCTGAATCGACGGCAGCCCCAGTGCAAGTGTGGCCCCAGAGGGTGCCACACGGCAGCTGCGAAACCAGAGAAGCAAGGCCGCGGCCAGATAGTGGAACCTTAGACCCGGTGAAAAAGCACATAGGCAGAGGCCACAGCCAGACACACTGAGCCACTGAGTGAACACAGGGTTCCGCCCTACGGTGTCCAGGCGCCACCCCACCTAGGCGTGTTGCTGAATGTTCCTTGAGGAAAGACTTCCGACCAAGGTCACCGTTCACCCTTGCGTCACACCGCAGCCACTCATGCTTCTTCCCCTTTTTTGAAAGCAGCTTTTCCCAGACAAGCCGTGCGTGGAATCGTTGCATACATGTGCGGTCTGTGATAGATCATCCCTAGGGCTCCAACCACCTCCTGAGAAGGTGGTTGGGGTAGGTTTGTGGGGTCTAACCACTTTCTGAGGATACAGTTGGAGCCCTAGGGCATAATTAAAAAATCATCCGGGCGCTTGGTTTTCCGTTTACGGGCCTGTGCCTGGGGACGGGGTCTTGGCTCAACCACTCCACCGCCGAGGTCTGAGATGAGCGAAGACGAAGCCATGTCTCCGGCCGCTCGGTGAACATTGGGAGTGGCACTTCTTCGATTCCAAGAGAGGTCAAGTGACCTGGCAAAGGATCAGTCACCTGGGGTACCATACATGTGATACTATAGTCTACAATTTAGGGTCCTTCAACCTTTTTTGGTTGGGCTGAGCCCGGGCATGTCGGGTGCAGGCTGCGCAGCTTCGAACCCTGAAGCCCCTTAACGGTTCAAAAACTCACATGACGAGCAGGTGCCAAAAACTTTGGAACAATACGTTTTTTGGTTTCTCTTTGCCACTTTGTGCTGGGTCTCACGTACAGTGTTGCAGACTCTGTGTTGGTTTCTGTACAGGAATGCTCCTGAAGATGCACTCCCTTGAAAGTCATGGAGGTGGAAAATGGCCCGGTGCGTGACAGGTTTCCTCCACAAACAGCTGGTGCTATCCACTTCCGGAGCGTCGCGACTCGGAGGTGTCGTAACGAGCGTGTCGCCGTAGCCGACCTGCACCATCCTGCACCCATTTGCACCCTCCGTTCCGGGTCTCCAAGCTCGTGACGCTGGAGATCCGGATTCTGAGGGTTAGTTGGCACCTCCAATCCCTACATATCCACAACATTCTACAGCCATCCACTATATACATCTATATACTATATACTATATTACTGTTATGACTAATCTTAAATAAGCAACCTCCAATCCCAACCACCGAAATATACAGCATTCTACAACCATCCACGATGTTGGGGATCGTGACCCGCCACGGCCACGGTGGGGTGAAGGTGCCCCAAACCTATGCCTTGTCTCAGTTTTGAAAGGATTTTCGACCAAGTGAACTGGCTGGTTTGCTCATTCAGCCATAGCCGGTGTATACCTAGAGCCTGACTGACCTCTGTTTTGATAGGAAAATAGTAATTTGGATAGTTGATCCTCCAAAACAGGGGTCACTCAGGCTCCAGGTAGCTATATATGGGTACTGTACTCAAGCAGTGAGACCTCCCAAAAAGCACTTCGCAAGAGGACCATCGACCAAAAAGACTTGCTTGGGATCCTGTGAACATACACATGACATCTATATGGTGTTATACTGTCTCAGGATGGAGGGACAGACACCCCGTAATCCGCTTCTCCATCCGCTTCCTCTGGAGGCTTCGGGAGCCCTTCCGGCAGCGCTTGCCAGTGGGCCTGGCCTCACGAAGCTCATCGAGGACACGGGAACGACCGTCGAAAGACCCGTGGGTTCTTGTCTTTTGAAACGGGGGATTTGCCATGCAGTTGTTCAACCAACCGCATGAACAGCGTCAGGTTGCTTCTCCGACCATTGGTCATGTTGATTCGAAAGGTGAGGAAGCAACATGCAGGGTGGATCGACGGCCCCTCTTTGTGGCGATCCACAGACCAGGACTGAGGTGTTGTGGTTCCCTGCCTCAAAGGAGGAACCAACCGTGAGCATCCCTTGCTTGGGGGGGTCAGTCGAGCTCCACACCCTAGGTCTTAAGGTGTTCACATGTGTCCAGCAGGCACCACTTCCAATGCCACGAGAACCACAAAACTTGCAGATGGCATACGTAGGTGACACCAAGACACGACCCATGGGACTGGAATATATGCCTACATTGGGGTGGATTCCGGGGTCCATGTAGGCATACATTCCGTTATATACATGGAGTGTTTGGGATAGTTGTATCCAATCGGCCGATGACCAAATATTGTGGCTTGGATGTATTGATTGTGGCTGCAGTTCACACACTCAACAGTGTCTATAACTAACATCGTATGAATCAAAAACACCCTTTGGATCAACATGCTGAGAGAGATTATCCATTCGAAGTACGGCTTGAGACCCCGGCGATCTGCATGTGCCCATTCTTCAAGAAATTTATCCTTTTGGACCCCTAAGACCTGTTTGGGTTTCATGGGCGAAGTCTTCAATAGCAATCCTCCCATTTCTATGTTCCTGTAGCCCGATGGACCTTCGAACGTGGCATAGTGTTTGGATGTGTTTGGTCTACGCTCAAACAGTTGTTTGCAATGGGCATTTTATCGAGCAGATACTCGTTCAACCTTTACTTGGGATGATGAAACCCACTGTTTCAAGTTAGTTGAAACCAAAAGCCAGAAATTGTCTAGGACTAGTTTGCAGCTGAGCTACTACACCCAACCTTTGTATCCACTCCCTGATGATACCGCCACGAGCATAAGCAGTGGCTGCGTTATGTCTCGTCATCTTCAGGTGGCGGACACATCAATTTGTTCGATGATTCCCACCAAACGCGTGATACTAGGAGTGATACTAGGGTGTATCCCACTACCAGTAAGAGCTGGTAAACGATGATAACTATTTACCTTTACACACCATCATCATCCACTGTTACTGGTAATGGGATCGGATATACCTTAAGCTGATACGGCATAATCCGGCTGATACTACATTGGGGTGGTTTCAGGGGTCAATACATGGAGTGCTCAATTATTGTGAGGTGTCTCGTCTTGAGTGATGGGGTCAGCAGGACACAGTGGCGGACTACGTGAGAAGCAAAGACTTCATAAGCCCCTCGGCGATTGGAGTACCGTACAGCGGATCACTGTTGGCTGGTGGAAAAATCTGGCACCAACGGAGAGTGGGTAATGCTCTTGATATCTCTTGATTAATTAGTAACCTCACCCATTTGAATTGAACAGCCTCTTCATATGGAAGGGTGATTATTCAATAGTCCACATTTAAACCATGTTGTAACACTTGTTATATCAGGCGCAGCTGTGCCTTCAGCATTGGCAGGTTCGCCATGGCTCGCCGATGGCAGATTAGATCAATCCGTAGGGATCCAACTACCTCCGTTTCGAAGGTGGGCCAGGGGTTGGTGCCAGAGGGGTCTAACCACCTTCTAAGGATATGACTGAAGCCCTAGGGAATTATCCTCCTCTTAAAGCCATTCCTTCTGGCTGGCAATCTTTGGGTGCTGGACCATCTTATGCTAGGACATGCTGCTTTGGTGTGCAAGGTGTCCTGGAAGGACAGCAGTCTTTGGCGGCGGGATCCAGATCGTAAGCGGAAGAGTGAGGGGGTTGACGGAGCCTCATGAGAACGATGGGTCTCGCCCAGGTATCGTCTCCCGTTTCCTGCCAGCGTACCGATTTTGGGAGACTGGCAGCTGACAGAGCTCGATTAGCTGCTGCGTTTGGGCAGACCAGTGTCGGCTCCTGCTACAGTCCAAAAAACGTGTAGCAGCAATGTAGCCAATTCGACGGCTATCCTTCAGAGCTACGTCCTGCCCTTCCCTACATGGGAGCAGGTGCCTCTTGGTTGCCCAAGCAAGAACATCCCGGCCAGATTGTGTCATTTGGCAGGTACGTGTTTATTGCAGAATGAATCATGTCTTTTCTTAAAGACACCGAAAGCAACAAAATCCCACCCTTCACACGGTCACGCCCGCCGCATGACGCATGCTGCTCCCAGGTTTCATCAACCAGCAATGTGCCACCCGGCTCGTCCACAGCGGAGTTCGCCACCGGTGATCCAATGAGAATCGACTCACACAGGCCTAAAGAATAGGCTGTTGTGAAAGATAACACACTATCCCTAGAACTCCAAGTACCTTCTGAGAAGGTGGGACTGGGGTGCGTTTGGAATCCCATAGGGACATGAAAACACAGCTCGCTGGCAAGTTCGCCAGTTCGGTGTTTGGGGTCTTTGTGGTTTCAAAAAGACATTAATTAAGCTGACCATTGATATATGTTTCTTTTTTTTTTGTGTGTGTGTTGATAGGATGGGCAGGCGAGACACGTGAGACAAATGCCTGTATTGAAGAAGTGGAACTGCTAATTGTATGATGGTGTCTTGTTTTTCCCCTTGGCGGAGTGAGAAGGGATTAGTGCAATACCCATTTTGGGATATAACTTTGCTTCAAGAAACGTTCGCCCTGGATATAATTGGTTGTATTGTATGAACCCAACTCAGTTCAAATAACGTGTGCCAAAGCAAGCGTGGCCCACACCTGAAGATCCTGAAAGATGAGACATCAACCCAAGTTAGCGCTCACTTGCAACCTTAAGTGGCATTCATTTCCCACGTGGAATAAACCACTGGTTGATCGAACCAACAGACTTCTCCTTTGGGGTTGGGACGAAGGATTGCCGGCTCCAAATGGACAAATAACGGGTCCACCAGCCACTGCGTGTGTTTTGTGTTCGTCGTTTTTTTTGCTGGATGTCCAGCATGGCCTCACTTCGAAATCTTCAACAAGAAGCAAAACAACGCACTGAAATACTCATGTTTAGTTTTTTTCTGGAGTGAATGCAATGGCATCTATGGAACCCTTCTCTCCTTCAAGTGAGTCTATTTTCACCCACCCACCCTCTTCGCGCATCTGACACCGGTGGAGCTCGGACACCGCTGCACTGGACCTCCAACCTGGGACCGGCCGGCCGTCCATTGAGGACCTGCCCTTCGTGCACCAGTGCATCCAGCGGCTCAGCGAAATGGTCCCCGACCTCCAGGCGCCGCAGTGCGGAGCTGACCGGGCGGCGGGTGGCGCGAGTGGCGGGCGCGAGTGGCGGGCGTCGACGTTGAGATGGAGCTGACCGGGTGTGTATTTCAATGGAGAGAGACCTCTTTGACCGTGTTGATCGAAAGGAACCTGTTTTTGAGTGAACGTGTGAAACGTGCAGTATCTATGAAATCATATATGGTCCTGAAATACACAGACTCGCTCAGTGAGCAGTGAACCCCCAGAAGTCCTCATTTCATGTTCATTGGACACCGGTCCTATAGATAGTGGGGCATTGCTATAATACATAGCAACCGTTTAACAATAGTGTCACATTCCTTTCGTCATCCGAAGACATTCTGAGGGGTTTTCTTCCAATAAGACAACCCACTCTTGGCGAAGGAATTCCTACCAGGGCCCAAAAAGGAATGTCTATTCATATATTCATAGCCCCTTTGAGGTTCACGGATGTCTATATCTATTAACAACCGATCAGGAGGCTTTGGTCAAATGTTGACAACGCTTCACAAGCCTAGGGTGGGACAGGGTGGATCCTAGGGTGGGTGGGTGGGTTTGGAGGATACCTTTTGAGGAGGTACAGCTGGAACCCTAGGGCAAGCTACTTGGTAGCACCAACCTCCCTAGTCGCTCGACATGGAATGAACTGAGTGGCCTAGGTGTTCTGCATTATTTGGTTCTTTGGATGTAGCCACTGGGTATGCCAGAAAAAGGAGAGAGAGAGAGAGGTACATTTCAACAAAACAGGGTTACTGAATGCACTACATTAATCTTGCATCAGCATTGGAAAACACCCTAGACCAAAGCTTAGACCACAAAAGACGCAAGCCTGTCTTTTGTGTGTCTGATATCGATAGAAGGATTCTGTCCGTTTTCAATCCCTAGCGGCTGTGGGTCAAATGCCCCCCCCCAGACCCTTTTGTTCAACTGAACATGAACAGACGACTATCAGGCAGAGGTCAAGCCGAGGTGAAGCTAGTGGCTGGTGCCACCCCACCCAGGTGCCTGAGCTTCTCACCCCCGCCCTTTGAGGCGCAGCAGTCTGAGATGCAAAAGGAGCGCAGACCGGGCTCACCCGACCTCGTGGAGCTGCGTCCTGTCGTGCCAGGTGTGGAGTCGACCCGTTGGTACCCAGGAAAATGGGTACGGACGGGTACAGTCATACCATGTCATACCTGTTTTTGTTGATGGGCTGATGGGGTCATTTCTCCATTCTACTAAGGTATGTACTTGAAGGCAGGTCCAGGTAGTTGTTTTGATGGTTTGACTCCCAGGTAATCTGCAAGTGCCAGCCGAGTCAGTCCTTGTCCAGGAGTCTAGACCAGACTAGGTGACTAGGCTTTTCCAAGTACTACAGCCAGTAACTCTCGTGCTGGGCCACTGGGCCCAACACAAAAGGAAACACACATCGTTCCATTCTACCATTCGTAACTTTCCCCCCAAGTATATCCAATAATGATCATCCTTAGAAGAGAGGCCCGCCCCACTTTGAACCAACCGTGGTTTCCCAAGCCTTTTTGGCGTTCCTTTGCGTCACCGGTAGAGACACGGAGAGAGAGAGAGAGAGAGAGACCGTCACCGTCACCCTCGTCATACCCATCGTAGAGACGCACCGTGGACCTGCACCCGCTGCGTACCGGGAAGGAGTTGCACCAAGTCGACGAGGACCTTCAAAGTTCCAAGGCGACGTTGCACAGGCGCCGGACCCCGGCGTTCACCGGTCGTTCTCGGGACCCCCGGCGGGGCGAGAAAAGGCCACACTTGTCTGGGCCAGGAGAGCGAGATCATGCAAGAGTTAAGTTGGATCATGTTGGATCCAGCTTCATCAAGATTCTGGGAGAATGATCATCATAGTTTTATTCAAGTCTTGCATTTCAAAGAAGTTAGGTCTCGCAATTGGCTGATGGATAAGATGGGTGTGTGGGAGTGTAGATGCGATGTGTCCTTGCCGTGTCTTGTTTTGAACACGTGCCACTACCACCGCCACCGGGAACAACATCAGCACATTGAGTACCACATTAAATGGATGGAAACTATGTGTTAAAGATGATGCCTTGATATTTGGTGACAATAATAAGTCAAATAATCCCCCCACAACTGCTTCTGGAGTGGTCCAGCCCATGAACCATCAATTCTCGGAAAGGGGGCCACTTTACCATACTCTACCAATCAAAATCCCAATTACAGATGTCAAGTCTAGCGGTTCCGGCGAAGGACAGATTAAGAAAGAGAGACAGAGAGAGAGGGAGAGAGAGAGAGAGAGAGAGAGTGAGGACCAACACACTGCACGTGACATTCTGAAATACAGCAGAGATATGCAGAGATGTTTGTGATTAGATTGATTTTGTCTATAGTGGTATACCCTTGAAAATGAATTGGATATAGATAACGTATGTACACTCCAGCATCCGGATGTTGCATATACCTGGACCCCATTTCAAGTACCTTAGAAAATGATAGATGTATCGATAACAAATACAGCTCCATATACTGATGCTCATGTTCCAAAGTACTTTGAGATTCTAGGTACTACTGTGCGTGGTGGCATGGGGGGGTCCGGCGGCTCCATTTTTCCAGGGTTTGTTCAATACCTTGGTCACGTTCGATGAGCACATGATTTTCCATGGAGACTCTTTGCTTCAAACACCTCGAAACATAGAGAAACTGTATCTAAAAACCAGTGTGAGAGCTGCTTCCCCAGCTCAGTCTCCGAGCAGCTCGGTTCGACTCACAGGTCCTTGGAGCTTCGGGCGACGGAAGAGACCACGGCGCAGCTGGCCAAGCGCGTGACGAAGAATGAGAAGTTCTCGGAGCAAGGCATCGATGCCATCCTTCAGTCCGTGGAAGGTGCGGAGCAGAGCGGGGCACCGCGCGGGCAGAGCAGAGCGGAAGTCGGCGGCGCGCAAGTCGGCGGCGCGGCACGGCACGTCAGTGGCACTGGAATGGTGGCAAGGTGTGGCTGAACGAGGTACCCCGAAGGAGGCGTCTCTGTTGAAAGAAGCATATAGATGGGTTGGTTGGGTTGTTTGACCCCGTGGTGCTTGTGACGCTTGTGGAAGAAACATGGCATAAGGGAGGTTCTGAGGAGGTATGTTGCCTTTGATTGCTGGTTCATGTCGTACGTTTTTGTTGCAGTGTTTGCAAGTTTCACGTTTGGGATGCTGTTTTAAGATGCGTGCAAGATTTGCTGTAGTGATTACACTCCCTGAAATAATCATGGAAGTGGCAAACCATGGCAAAGCACTTGTTTGTAAAGGGAAGTGGTAATCCAAGATATCCAAGGGACAATTGTTATTTGTTTAGGTGGTAACGTGGAGTTCTTGTTAAGCCTACAGGATCCTATAGGTCAATCTTGAAACAACGCATCTATCATAGCACCATTATGAATTGTAATCAGCCATCTCATGAGTATGCTGTGTAGGTTGAACTTCTCGTCGTGAGTAGCTGAGTAGCAAAAGCCAACAGGCACGTGCCCTCAAGCGCATGTGTACAGAGCAAATTTATATATATATATTATATATTATGTATATTTGTTCGTATACATACAGTGGGAGTGGCTTGAGCATATCGTGTTCTTATCCTTTGTCATGTTGAAGTTCCACCACATGCTCTCAGAGCATGATCTTGACATGGGGTCCTGCAAACGAAAGACATGGGTCATGTGAGTCGATTATGATTCAGTAGCACTACTCTCAGGCCCAATGGTTATTTTTGGGACACCAATTTGCTGCATCTTCACTGAAACAATTTTTGAAACCCCATCTCTACAGTCGGAAATTGTTAGGACGATCTGCGATTGCTGGCAGCTGCCTGCTGGTTTTGCTGAACGTGTTGCTGTAGAATGCCCAACATGAGATGGAACGTGTTGCTGTTGTATTGCTAGATGCAAGAAATTACTCCCAGCATTGGCCTCAGTTGCAAACTTCAGGTGCTCCCACGTGCTGACACTTCCAGCTAAGACTTGATGTCAGGTGGACATCGATTTGGTGCAAATGTTTCAAGGACAGGTGAGTTGCTATAGTGTGGGAATTTCTCGATGCCGAGGCTAGCGGAGCTAGGGGCTGCATCAAATCAACCCCTTGCATCCTTCAATGGACAGGACCTGAAAAGGCTGCACTGTTTGGCATATTTGCTGTGTGTTGACACACAACTACTCATTACAGTGCTTGGGTGTCCCCCCCACTGGCTTCGAGTGGGCGGCTAAGTAGTCAGGTGTTTGGAGTGGGCATGTCGCCGGTTGTGTCACGTTCTTTAAGGATCCAGGATCTCAGGAATCACAGTTCCGGAAGATAAAGAGAAGAGCTCTTTAAACATGCAGCTTATGATGGCCCGAGCTGTGGGAACCCCTGCATCAGCAGCCGGTAAAGCAGCACAGAGACCAGGTAGCCGGAGTTGTCTTAGATGAACCTGTCAGGTCAGGGTTGTTAGAGTTTATGTCAGCTGCTGTCCTCGTCCTCCTCCTCCTCCTCCGCCTCCTTCTCCTCTGCCTCCTCCTCCATCCAGACCTCAATCGCCAGCTCCGGATGGCAGTGTTCCCACCGGACCTCAACTGCGAGCTTTGGCTGGCAGTGTTCCCCGCCGGACCTCAACCGCGAGTCAGAAGATATGCCAGATAGAAGGCCAGAAAGAATGCCAGAAGATTTGCCAGAAAGAATGTCATCAGATATGATATGCCAGATAGAGTGCCAGAATGAATGTCAGAAGAGATGCCAGAAAACATGTCAGAAGATATGCCGGAAATATTGTCAGAAGATATGCCATAAAAAATGTCAGAATGTCAATATGGTATGCCAGAAAGAATGCCGAAGTAATGTTTCAACGCATGCCAGAGAATTTGTCAGGTTGAAATGTCATGGTGGAATCACTCGAAGTAAAGCAATGTTTGTCTTCCTTCACTTGGGCAAGCAGACCTTGAAGTGCGCACATTCTGGTTAAACGAGGAGCCTACAAGGGGTGGAACCTACCGGAATCCGAGGCGCCTTGCGAAGGTGTGATATACTAACGGTCTGCCTCGAGCGCAGCAGATCGAGATGAAGGACCACCTATAGTGACCGGGGGCACCGGTGTGCCCGTTGCGGACCTAACACGCACTCGAGTGCCAACTTTGGACAACTGGCGCGCATCCTGTGGGAGCAGAATGTCAACTACACTCGGCTATGGCAAGAGCGTGGGGAAACACGTGTTTCTACTGACTGGAAACAGACGCTGCAGGAACGCAGAAAGCCAAGGCATGCCCAGGCCAAGAACGCCCTCAAACTGTCAGGAGTGATCACCCAACACTGCGCCCTCCTCACCCCATTCCCGTCCCAAGAAAACAACTACCAGGAATTCTATTTCGGAGTGCTCAATGGAAGAATCTGTGTGCTCCTGTCACCTCCACTGTCTTACGGACCAAGCACCACCCCGCCATGATGATTTCAACAGCCACGTCATCGGGATCTCCATCGCACGCCACGCGTTTCGGTCGTTTCGGTGACATCAGGCCGTGTCTTGGAGTTCCTGAGTGAAGGAGAGGCTGAACGCGCACGGCTCTGGCACCAGATGTCCGTGCCACGGCGGCTTTTGCCCTTGGGCACGGTGGAATTGTAGACTCTTGATGAGTGAAACCCCATACACAATCCCAATGGCGGGGACTTGTGAAGATGAAAGGTACATCAAGTCTTAAGCATGCAAAGGCAGACTCCGAATGTTTGGGAGGTTCTGAATCTGATCGCCCGTTTGATGACTGATACTCCCAGGTTCTGACTCGTCCGTCCACCGGGTTTGAGCAGCCATCGAAGTGTGTGGGGAGAGATTGTTTTTGATTCCCGGTTCCGGCAAATGCATGCAAATGTAAATCATTGTGGGCTCTTCTATATAAGTTTTGGAAAGGGCGAAGTCCTTGGTTCATAGAGCAGAGTCCGAACGTGCGTTCTCGAATTCTCAGACTTGTCGTGTGCGAATTCTCGTACTCAGGTCAAAGAATCGCCACAGGCTTTCCGAATCCGAAAGGTACAGGGATCCATCCAGTCCCGTATATACAGACTTGTATAGACTTGGAATACGAGTTTTGTAGGGAGCCCCCCAAAGAATCTGCTTCAGCGTGTGGCGTAGGATTGGGAAATCCACTCCAAATTCCACAAGTTTGGTTGGCAACAACCCAAACCATCCCAGCCTTCCAAAGGGCCTCATGGTCCTTCGCATTCGTGAAAAGCTGAGGTTCTTTTCCCCCGCTTCATCCAGGAGGGCAACGAGAAAAAACCCATGCCACGAAGCTAAAAGGGAGGGAGTGAGTTTATTTGCACGAGACCCAAAGGATCAAAGAGGCCTAAATTATAGACAGAATTGATGTTTCTAGTAGCATAGAACACATCTCCGGGCTGCCAGGGGGCTTTATTCATCAACCGTCTGTTTGGGGGGGGGGCCGTCGTCTACTTGTGCCGAAAAGACCTGAAGACTCAGACGCAACGTGCAATCCATGTCCGTCGCGATCGAATCCGGTCCGACACCCATGTGGCACATGAATAGCAGCTTCAAGCCATCAAAGCACATGAAGCATGGAATCATGAGCGGTGATTATAGGTCATTGCAGTATATAAGTGTTTTGCTTCCTGCGAAGCTAAACATGATGCCAAATGCTTTCCAATAGCTGTTTCTTTATTCAATAGCAACAATTTGAGGCAGCAAGCGGAGGTGAATGGGTACGATCCCCTGATGCAAGAGGCAACCTGCAAGTAACACCATCGAGAGTTAAAGCTTTAAAGATCGTGACACAACAAAGCTCAAGGGACCGGAGGTCAGGCTAAGTTGAAGCATTTGGAGCATGCTTTGAGTGTTCTCCATGTGCTGATGCGGAAAAAGGGAGTCTGGGTGGGGATCCTTTTTCTTCACACATCGTGGTCCGTTAGTTCTTCCAAACTGGAGTTGATACAGCATCACCGCATCACCTGAGAGATGTCAACGTTGTCAACATTCCGCAGCTGTCCAGCCCCCTAAAAAAACACATTAAAAAAAACAAGTCGGATGATCCCTTTAATAAAGAAAGTGCGAGAGGCCCCACCGTGACCAATCCCCACCGTGACCAATCGAACTGGGATGGCAACTGTCGTAAGACTTGGATGTCCGCCCAAAAGAAACCCTATGCGACTGGTAGACACTCCATGTGTCACATTTGACCTGCATTGAGGTTGGGATGGAATGGGTGCTTTCTGATCAAAATTCCATGGGCCTTTGAGAATGTGACAGTGTATAACGTAACCCAGGGGAAGTCCCAGTGGATACAGTTACCAGTGGTTCCAGTTCGACTAAGTACGTAGACTCTGGAAGGATTTGGGAGGTACAGAAACATCACAACTGAACACTATCCAAGTTTTAGTGGAGGTTGACACTACCAACATTGTAACGTTTAGCGTATGGGTTGATACTGCTCCTCCCAGTTCTCCTTGTTTGCACGGATCGACGTGTACCAACAGCATCCGCCCCTTCCGAGCAGATTTGCTAATCCAAGGAAGCTTCATAGATAGCCCATCAAGCCCCTTCCCCTCGAAATGGCGCTTTGAGATATTATGTCCAAGCATGTCCGACCCTTACTTGGGACGATTCATGATGGATCCCACTGACGCATCGTCGTATATCATCCGTTCGCTTCGTTGAAGCGTTGAAACCCTAGGGCTCCTGGCCCATCTCCTCAGGTTCGGCGGTTAGACCCCCAATTCCACCCACCCCAACTATCTTCTCAGGAGGTGTTTGGAGCCCAAACGGGTTCTATCAGTTTTTCCCTGACCCAAAAAACAATTCCTATCGGCCGTTTTTGGGGAGCGGAAAAGAACCACGGAACATGCACGACTCGCGACTCGCGTCGTTTTCCATCGACGTCTCAACATCTCGGAGCGGCTTTCGGCTCAGCCACTCGCCGAGGAGTGTCAGCGAGGCCCGGGCCTATGCCTTGGACGTGCGCTTGGATTCCCTCGAGGCGAACTTCCGCTATCCGGATATCTCCCTAGGGATCCACATACCAAACCTCAGAAGGTACTTGGGCCCTCCCAGCATACATAAATAGTCTCCAATTACCTTCTGAGAAGGCACTTGGATCCCTAGGGTCTGTTCTCCCGGGCCTCGTTCTTTGTCTTTTTTTGTTTTATCTCGCGGTCGGTGAGAGGAACTGGTAGGTGTCTGAAATGTGGTTCTTAAAGTTGATGGTCATTTATGTCTGTTCAATTGGCAGCAATTCAACGACCTTTTGTGGTTAGACAACATGTATCATTCGTACGGAGGCATCGTTGCAGGGTTCCAGAACTTGCACTCTCATTGCCGACACTCTGTAGTGCCTAGTGAGCCTAGTGCCTTGTGTTTGTATCCAACAAGGTGATCCTGGTGATCCTTGAGTGTCGGTACATAGATGATCCATTACCCCCAAGGTAGAGCTACAGCTACAGAGGACATCCCGTTGTTGGCGACATCAACAGTTGACGTGGGGGGCCCTCCTAAAATCGATATGTCAGAAAGCTTTTTCAGGTTTGGGACGGGTAGTCGTTACACAGTTGGTTGGCACTTAGGCTCGGAAACAGTGTTCCCTTCGTACTTTCTGGATAACCAGTACTTCCATGTACCAAAGACTAAGTCCGTAGACCTAGAAACCCTGGGGTTCCTTCTATACAAGTATCCTCAAGCTTCTATTATATATATATATATACATGTACATATACAATATAATATACAATATAATACAATATACATATACAGTAAATCCACTGGGCGTCCTTTTCGGATGGCCTGCGTTTGTATGTCTACATGCAGAAAGTATGGTGCTTGCGCAGTTCCATCGGTCAGTCGGTGCCATGGCGGATACCGTGCCATCGGCGAAGATCGGTTCCAAGATCCGAACTATCCCGGACACTCCATGGGACTGGTATAATTTGCCGATCAGGCCAGGAGTGGTGCCAGAGGGGTCTGTCTGGGGCGGCAGTCCTATGGCAGTCCCATGTGTCGTGTCTGGGAATTGACTTCCAGACTTTTTGGACGCGGAATGCCTCACTGACGGTGGCTGGTCAAATTGTGATCCCGGTCAACCGGGGTGTCCTCGTGCCATGATCTACTTTGGCGCCAAAGCTGCCAAAGCTACCAATACCATACCCTTCCAAGACCATACCCAGACACAAACCGTATTTAGGGGGTTCCAACATATGTGGTTTTTAATGCTTAATGGGACTGGCATATTTATAATACATTGGACATTGGGGTGGTTTCACGGGGTCAATGGTATATGTACCATACATTGAGTTTCTGGGATAGGAAGCTGGCTCCACTTAAAAAGGAGGAGGAACCCAATGCCTTGCACTCAGGTGCTTGGTTTGGACACTATACCCAGGTGAATATGGGCCTTTTGACCCTAAAAAACAAATACAACCCCCCTCCCAAAAGCTTCGGGCATGCTCTAGTGTACTGCATCCACAGGGTACCCACATTATATTCCTGATGGAAGGATTTATTTTTGACCACCTGATCATGAGTGAAGACCAGGACCTTAGGAGTTCAAGGACCTGAGCCGTTCGTGACCTTTGGAGTTCCCATCGAGTCTGACCCAGTTCAGGCACCCATTTCGTGGACCTGGTCAACTGGGAGCTCCAGTTCGGTCACAAAGTCAGGTCCTGGTTATGATGGCGTTTCCCATACACTCCATGTCATGGAATATATACCCCGCAAACATCTACAGTCCCATGTGTCGCGTCGGGCTTTGTTTCCATCTCTTTGCTTCGCCCAGTTCCGGGGTGACCTGGAACGAAACGACGTAGCTTCACGGTGGACGTCGTCGCCGCGACGTGGCCGAGGACTTCGTCGTCCGACGCAGTGGGACACCGCGGAGATCCCGGAGTTGGGGCGGCCCAAGCTGGAAGAGAGGGGGAGAGGGGCAGAGTGGGCAGAGGTGGAGGATTCAGGAAAGGTCAACATGGAATGACTATTGGTAACATGAGTTTGTGTGTGTTTTACATTGCCGCACCCATGAGTTTTCGCTTTGGATGTTTTCTGCTAGGTCGGGAAAAACGGCACTGTGGTGCTGCCATTGATCCCAAATACTGGTAGCTAAGAACTCAGGACAATACCCAGACACTCCATGTATGGTATATATATATACCTACCTACATTGACCCCTTTTCAACCATGTCCGGTATGTATGTCAATGTGCCAGTCCCAATCGTCGTGTTTGGGATAAGTACGTTTCCAGCATCAACGCTTGTTTCCACCATCCATGAGATCCATGCGATTCCAATCGCTTTTTCGAGTTCGGGTGAGATCCAATGGATACCAGGTGAGGAGGAACGCAAGAGGTGTCTAGGTCCATAGCCTCGACCAGAGGTGAGGGTTACGGGAGTCCAAGAGCCACCCCCATTGACCGGTTCGTTGGAAGGTCTTATTTTTTATGTAATACCCAGACACGACACATGGGACTGCCATAGGACTGCCGCCCCAGAGAGACCCCTCTGGCACCACTCCTGGCCTGATCGGCAAATATACCAGTCCCATGGAGTCTCTGGGATATATAGTATTTATATTGTAGATACCTGATAATTATATTACTCCAGCATCCCCATGTGTCACCTGCATGTGTCAGCTCTGTGAGCCGAGGCCATCCCCATGTGGTGTGGTGAGATAGATGGTTCAACCGTTTTTTGGGTTCGGGTTTGCTTCCTTCAACTCCAACTGTGAATGTAGCAGAATGCCAGGACGGACAATTCTTACTCCGACAATCATGGGTACGTGGAGTTTACCCCCCTTTGTTGCTAGAGGAACATCGTCTTCCAGAACATCCACCTAACCATGATGACGAGGGGGAGTAGGCAATGGGACTCTGATGATTGCAATTTCCTATGTCCGATATGGTGTTGATTCCGAAATCGATCCCTGTTCGCAACAAAAACAACACACATCCATGGACCGCAATGCTGGAGCTGTAGGGATTGGGGGCTGGGCCTGCGAAGCCGTCGGAAAGCGCTCACGAACTAGGCTTTCCAGCTGCTGCAGGCGGAGCGTCTTGCTCATGTTGGTTTAGTTGCAACAGAAAGGGACCAGGCTTGTGATGCAACAGTGAGGCATAGCCTGGCAGAAAAAATAAAGTGTTATGGGTAAGTACAAGGAATGCAATATGACACTGGCTGACTGACTGACTGACTGACTGACTGACTGACTGACTGACTGACTGACTGGTGGGCTTACAGAAAAATTGCATCATTGTTGGTCGGTTAGGCAGTGGAGCTTCACGGGCAAAAACGGCACTAGCAGGACGACTGGTCTCCTGACTGTGGCAAAGAGACGGATCGCTTTTGCTTGCCTGGCAGCGGCTGATTGGCAGGATCGCTTTTGTTTTTTCTGGTCTTTCGGGGCAGCACAGGCCAGTGCAAAGCATAGCTGGCGTCGATGGTTGGATTCGGTGGCGATTTCATGCAAAGACATTGCGCGCACAGAAGGCGGCCCTTCTCCGCGCATGGGATCGGTCCGGCGGCACGCCAAAGAACCAGGATTGGCCACCAAGTTGGCCGCAGAAGGACCAGCTTGAAAGAATCTTCAGCCATATTGTGGTAGATGATTAAATATATTAACGTTGATTCAACCTGGACCCTCCAACAGGTGTTTCCTGGTGGCAACAGGTGGCCAGAAACCACCTGTTAGGGTCCTTGGGACCTTGGGCGCAGGAGGTGTGGCATCGCTGTCAGCCGCTTATGGAGAGGTGACCCTCCGCGGCTCTCTCTAAGGCTGGACGGCAGCTCTGACACCGGCAGAAGCCAGAGCTGAGAGAAGCGGTTTTCTTTTGTGAGCTTCGAGGATGAATCAGAAGACCATCTGCCACCAAGTCTTAGAAAACCACGCGGTCAGCGTGGTGATCATCAACCTTCAGGAAGCTGAGGCGAAGTGTCAAGCTCACTTGGCAAAAATTTGACAAACAGCTTTGGTTGGCAACCTCCACTAAGACTGAGTTTGCTGTGAAAGGATTGGTCGCCAGCCCTTCAGATTTTGTCGCCACCAGACCTGCGCTCATTGCCATCTTAATTCATTCCGGCCCAGGCAAACAATCTCCGGCATTTTTTCGGGGTAGAACGGAACCTGCGGCGAGGGGACTGAGAAGCGTGAGAAGTCTACCGTTGGTGGTCCAGAGAACCTTGGAAGGTATTTGGGCCCTCCAAGCCTACATAAATAGTCTCCAATCATCTTCTCAGAAGGTATGTGGATCAATAGGGATTGTTACTGCGGTTGACATTTTCAGGGTGGCGGCAAAGTGATGGGGTTCGCATCAGGGCTGTGGATCCTGAACCCTATCGAGGAGCTTGGTATCGCTCTTGATGCTGCCCTCCCCCAGCCGCAAATGACCAAAAATACAAGATTTTCTACCAAGTGGAGAAACAAGGGTGCTTGGAGTACAGTGTGACTGGTCACCGCGCAGAACGCCCTGCGAAATATTCAACGGGGTGTGAACGATAAATATATGAATACAACTTGCTAAACCCAAATCCAACCTCAGCTGTGCATGGCGCCCAAGTCTTCCATGCTTCCAGAAAATGATCTCATGTGAGCTTTGCCAGTTCCTCAGCAAACCCAAAAAGACCTTCTCAGAAGTTCGAGAAGCCATGGCTGGTGCCACGTACCAACACGGCCCTGCTTAGATGGAGATTGTGCCCTTCTGTAAGAAGGATCCAAATGAGCCAATGGCTATATTATGGGTCAGGGACAAAACACAAAACATGAAACAGTACATGAAACACCATGTATCGTCCCAGCACATTTGTTTGATTCTATTGAACCATTCCCCCGATTCAGCCACGGCTGAAAAACTGACGACTTGACCACTCCCTACGGCGCATGTGACAATCTTCGGGATATTTATATATTAACCCTTTATATTATAGGTATGTGTTTTTCCTTTGAAAAACCAAGGACGTTGCTTACCACCATACGAAATGGGCAGGAGCGAGTCAACAAGCCCCTTTGATCCAACGAGCGGGAGCGGGTGGTAATATAGTTATTCTAAAAAATTGATCATTCCAGCACCACTTAGCGAAATGTATTAATTATATATACCAGGACCCTTCTATTGATAGCCCCTTAGAGGTTATATAAGGGGTGTCCATGTCTACCACCCCTTGTGTGTCCTCGTATATATAACTGTTCATGTTCCCATCCATTTCACTACTCACCATTGGGACCATTGGGGATGCTCACCACGGCGTTACCGGCGCCAGGCCGCAACCTCGCCGATGTCGCGGAGGTCACGGACGGCGCGTTGGTCGAGGACGGTCATGAGGAAGCGGAGGCGGCGGACGAGGACGTGGGGCGCTCGCCGGGTGGCCTAGTTGGTGAAAGCGTGTGGCTTGGGGGGGGGCATAAGAGGGGCGCCCTAGGTGTTTGTGTAGAAGATGATTTGCATATGTCATTCTAGACATCAAGTTGTCGAAGATCCATACGCAGGATTTTGTCGGGGTGTCTATCAACCACCCGAACTCCATGGGTGTTGGGAGACGTTCTTGTCTTTTTGGGTTCCTGGCATCCGCACATCCAGATCGCTATCCCTTCGCATCCGTCCGATGAGTTCCGCTGGTCCCACCAAGGAGCGGATCCAGGAGCGAGGATGTCTCGGGCCGCGGTAGGCAAGGGGTAGGCAGGGTGATGCGACAGATGGAACCTTGAACGACTCTGCGTCAGATGGTAGGTAGGCTGCAAACGACTCGCTCTACTAGGCGACGGACATAGATGGGCAAGAAATCCTAGGAATTACTGTAGTTGGCCTGTGAACCATGGTCACTGGCAAGACCCTGAACACCACTTGCATCGCCAGAGTGATGACCAGGTGGTCTTAGTTTTAATGAGTCTGAGTCGGGATGGTTATTGGACACCCCTTAACCGCTAAGGGGCTCTTAATAGATACCCTTGCTATGGAAGTTGTTCGGAGGATCAAGTCCAGCATGGATCTATTTTAGGTTGCAAGACCTGTCACTCACCTCTTGTTGTGTGAAGGGTAAGCCTTGGAGACTTGATGGAGTCGGATCTGCATGCAAATGCGGATGTTGGGTGCAACAAAGGTGTGGATGCTTAAACCTTCAATGAAAAATGGATGGATGAAGCCCCTCTGAAGCAGGAGATGTTCTTAACTCTAAACCTTTGGGTTTTAAGCCAGGAGTTGTAGGGAAGCTAATATCCCTTACCCTTACATAGTTCCAAGTACCTTCAGGTAGAAGTGCAGAAGGGAGTCGACCTCTGTCTTCATCAAGTCTTCGACTCAGTCGCAGCGGTTCGGTACTTCTGAATCACATTCAAATCTTTGCAATCCAAGTGCTGTGACTCTTTTTTGGCCCGCTCAGCCCGCTACCATTTGTCCCGTTGGTTTTTCGAAAACCCCAGAATCAGCTCCAAACAAGGGAATCCCCAGGCCTCACTCCACACTGATAAGGAGTAACCGTGATCAAATTTGTTTCTTCAAAAGGCCCTGCAGGTCGAACACTGGGCAACTCCACATGTTAGTTTGTTGTGCGTTTGAACGCAGGGTTTGGGCTGAAGATGAGCGCCTCCTCTCCCGCTGGGGTCCTGGTACTCCCACCGGATCGCCGATCGACTCCGGTCGGTCGAAGTGGATCACCTTTCGGTCGAACGAGACCGCATACGAGCGATGCCCGGCCCAGACACAACTAATGGGACTGCCATCAATGCCGTATATATTATATATACATTGGGGCGGTTTTGCGGGTCCATGCGGTCTCTTTTCCATGGTTGATTCCGTTCGATAGCGTCCTTGTTCCGTTCGTCTACGGCCGTCGGGCTCCGCGCCCCGTTCGTAGCGTCCTCTCTCGAGACTCCACGATGTCCAGGAGCTTTGGTTTCGAACGGAGCGGGAACCCAGGAGCACCGGCGGCGGAGCAGTGAGGGTTGAAGATCTCAGTGGACACTATGAGCCTCATACCTTAACTTATATGTGGGTCCTGTGTTCACTCTGGTAGGGAAGGGACTTAAGTGGTTGTAAAGACTGGACTTAGAACATGTTGGTGTTTTTTGTGGTGGACATTGAGTCCGCAGAACATGTGTTGCATTGCCGCATTCGCCCACAAGTTCCGAACGCGCAGATTCAGACCAAAGACATGGTTCAAGCTACAGTTGGAGGTTTCACCTGAACCAGTCCAGGTGAACTAGTCTAAGATCGATTGGTGTCATGTGTTAAAGGTTCCCGATGTTCTTCTTAATTGGCCTTCTTTAGGACTCACCTACTGACCGGGCTGTACTCAACCACAGCCTTTGCTTGGTCCGCATGGGATGGATTGAGCCCGAAAGTGCTGAAGTGTCCGCAGTCCGAGGTTCTCTTTTGCTCCGGAGGCTTTCAAGGTGGGGAGAGAGTGCGGTTGCAATCGACGCATTGAGGTGAGTGGACTTTGTATGACTTTGTTAGGATTGATGATTGATGGGATTGATCCTCCTACTCCAAAAAGGATTGTCTTCAAAATCAGAGGCAAACGTTCCGAGGGGCAAGCTTTTATCAGGGTTGACCAACTGGTGTTCTTAAATCCCTAAGTGCTTTGCAAGAGGTTTCTGAGCATATCTTGGAGATGGTATTGATCGAATCAACATCTCAGCTTCAGAAAATTGTTTCAGCCAACTCACCTGGGTCGATGGGTCGAGCGGTGGATGTCGCGAGAAGGTGATGTGAAGACCCCTGATCGAGGCTAGTCTTGGCTGTCCGGATCTTCTTTGTTGACCCACTCATGTCATATTTATTTTATAGTTTTATCTAAGTCACTGAGGGTCAATGCGGGTTTGCCCCTTGATTGAATAAAACTAGAACAGCAGCAGCTTCTTCAGAGTGATCTTTCTTCAGGTCTCCAAGTGACACCTTTTGCGGCCACTGACCTCAAAACAGGTTTGCTGGTTCTCAGGTCGAAGGGTCGATCTGAGAACCAGCGAGAGATCGCGGCAACTTGTGCCGCAACTTCACACGGACAGCCTTTTGGTTGGAGATGTGGTTTGGGTGGACATGGCGGCAAAGCAACCCCGTCTTCGCCGGTGGGACATGGCGTCTACCTTGGTTCTCGTGTCGCCAAAAGACCATGGTCTGGTGGACACCCAACACCTGCGCTGCCACCGGGCCCCAACAGACTCCCGAGCAGACGCCAGGCGACGCCTGGCTCTCACTTGCATGAGATCTTGGAGCGCTTGAAGGAGCGACGACCGAAAAAACCCGGTGGCTCCTTCGGGTCAAAGGACCTGAAACCACGGGAGACTTCCCACTGGCACCTCCCAAGTCTAAGTGGTTCAAACACACGAGGAGTCTGAAACTCCAAAGGTCTAGACTGGAAGCATCCGTAACAGCTGAACTCCTGGGACATCCCACATGGGGATTCACAAAAAATCAGCTTTGAATAAAGATGTTGTTGGGGTTTTGGAGGGGGGTTCCCATCTTTAATTGCCCTCACAAGGGCCCTCGGCAAGGGCAAAAAGGACCATCCCCAACACATATAGGGTTTTAACATGTTTTTACTTTGACACATCAGTGTATTTGAAAGCCGTGCTTTTGCCAAGTCACTGTGATTAGTGAGAATCCACGTGTTTTGAAAAGACATCTCCAGATGCGAAAAACATCACATGCTAGCCTCCTCCAGACCCATAGCTTGGTTGAGGAAATGTAGTTCTTCTCCGCGAATCTTCGCGGTCAAGGGAATCGATGCGCCTCAGGAGCAGCTCGCCTCTGGAGCGCCTTCGCAAGCCGCTGCAGAACTGCTGGCTGAAGGCCGTGGCATCAACAGGGGTTGATTCAAAGCAGTTCACTTCTGATCTTGGCAATACTGCGGCAATACCGGCTACCTCAGTAGCACTTCAACTAGGGATAACCATAAGAGCTCCGAAATCGAGCATCTTCGAACCTTCCACGCAGCGCTCATGTGAACGCTGAGACCGAAACGGCTCATCGGCTGTCCCGGCAGATGCGGTGCACGTGGGCACCGCCTCTGCGCCACCCAGCTTGCTGCGGAGGTCCAAGCTGGAGGCGGTTTCAGGGCCGTGGCTGGAGGAGTTTATCCAGGTTTTTGCTTAAGGGATGGTCGATTTTCCCTGTTGGCAAGGAGACACTGTTCGTTGTAGGTGCCAGGAGGGTCGAGTCGTACCGAACCAGAGAAACTATTTGGATCCCTAGGGCTAGATTGAAACCTTATCAAGCCTTTGAATTTAGATGAATTTAGCCTCATGGACTCATGGATGGTCTGGGCCTGAAAAAAACATATATATCATGTTTCAACTGGATGGGAAAAAGGCTCCTGAATTTCGGAGGACCTTAAGTTTTTGTTGTTCTTTTTTTCAACTACCATTACCACACATGGTGTGAGCTCCACTTCCATGATTATTTCAAGGATTTTCAAGGGGTGTAGGCTGTTGATGAATAACCACCCCATCCAATTTGATTCTAAGCCTCTTCATAGAGGTGACATTTAATCAACAGTCAACGTGAATGAACATCAACTGTTGATGAATACAACCACCCCTCTCCAGGAGTGTTTTTACATCTTCAGTCCTGGGTTTGTTTTATTCATTGACAGTCAACATTGGTCTATGTTCATAAATTCATAAATTTTGCTGTTGATCAATTACAGTGGTGCTAGGGAGGTTCGCTAATCAACTGTTTGCATTACACCACTATGGTTAAGGCTTTGGCTGCAGGTCTCCTTTCCCCTACCAAAATATATATAGTCATATAGAAGTTCATATAGAACATAGCTTAAGCAGATCTACAAATTTGAAATTGGAAGAACAGCCCAGCAGTGCCACTTTGGAAACCAAACTCTGATGGATGTGTTTTGTGTTGTTTCTTTCAGCGCCTTTCTCCTTTGGTGTTGTCTTTCGGTAATTGGTTTGGCCTATATATGTGCCAGGAGTGCATGTCGGATTGCTATCCGCCGTGGTAGTTACATGTGCCCATTCTCTACTCACTTGGGGTTCAAAAAGCCCGACAAGGAACACCTGGTGTGTGTTTTCCCTGGTCCAAAAGACACATCCGTGCCACCTGCAGAACCACACGAAGAGCTTGTCCGTGACCTTTGAAGAGCCCAACCAGCTGAAGGAAGCTGCGACGGGAGCTGCGACGGAGCGCATGGAGGCGGCGCAGGGCGGTGATGGGCGGGTGACGGGCGCATGGCGGTGACGAGAGGATCCAATCAAAAAGGTTACATGGAGTCCGGCCAAAAGTCTATCAAAAAAAGTAGATAAAGGGGTCGAAAGTAGCTTATGATGTTGTTTGAGCATGGGTTCCATTTTGTGTGCGAGGGTGCGTTGATTCGGTTTTCCGGTGTTCGTCCATTGGTTCTAGAGGGAAAAATTTACACACTCTAGACTCTACACACTCATGACTTCATCAGAATCACCCCTTGCGGCGCTTTTCTCTGTCCGCTCTCCGCTTCCTCCGCTGCGCTCGTTGGTCTTCCGTCGTTGCTGCGCTCAGTCGGCGGACCGAATGGGGTGACCCTTGGGGTCTCGGAGGTTGGGATGTTGAGCATCCAGGAGTTGGACCGGGTTCAGATTCTCATGGAACTCTGGGCCCTTTCTGGTTCAGTGGATTTCTGTTCAACCTGCTGCCAGTGGTTGCCAGGTCAGTCCGTCTCCGCGACCTTCGGGGTTTCAAGGTCTTTCGGAGGGAGGCTGGGGCGGAACGAGCGCGATGGACATACCGTGGTGCCTGTGAGCAACTCTTGTAGGGACCAGATAGTTTGTTCATGTTGATGTCACCAACAGTCGACCAACTGTTTCCAACAGCTTCTTGTATCATCATTAACGCGATTTCAGGTGTTTCAGTGGGACACCACAGCATATCCACTCCCGCGTGTCGAGCACGAATCTGCTCCAGCGTTTTCGTGTCTTGAGCACCTCGCAAGTGTTTGTTTTTGCTTATGGGGTGCGTTTCCAGCTGAAAGACCATGAGCTTGTGCGGTGTGGATTAGTTTTACCTACATTATTGATCTAAATGGAGCCAAACAATTGGGGTGTAGTCCCCTGGTATTCCTTGTGGTGCATGTCGGCACATGGGATGTTGCGTGAGCAACCAAGAGAGGTTAAGTGACCAACATGGGATAGTCTAAGAGGGTTCTTCAACCTTTGTTCCAACATCGGGCGCGCGTCCAGGAGGCAGCCGATCTGGGGAAAAGCCCGATCCGCCGGAGGCACGCTTCTTGCATGTCACACGTGAGGCCTCAAAGACCAAGACTCAAAAACAATGTGTCAACCATAATGTTTTTATTTTATTTTTGTGTGTGTGTGTTAGTGTGAACATCTTGCATTGTATAGGTCACCCGTTGGTGTTTTAAGATTTCTTGAATTGGAGGGGGCACACGCCCATTGTGGATACCTGTGCCAACGAAGCTGTTCCACGAGGGGCGAAACGGAGACTGATCACCTCCGTGTACTTGCTGAAGGTTGTGGCGTTTGGCAACCATGCTCTCCTCTAGACTTCAGGCTGGTTCGGTGGAGACAGGCCTGCAGGCTCTACACGTTCCGTTGGTCGCTCGATCGTCGACTTGCAACTTGGAGACTTCGAGATTGTATTTGAGCCTTTCGAGCTTGATACTGTCAGGATTGTCAGACCCCCTTACAGTACATGCTTTTCTCAGGCCATTTTTTCACGTGAGGTTGCCGTGTGGCATGAGGCATTCAGTTCAGTACACGATATCCTGAGTGTGTGTGTGTGTGTGTCCACCCCTGGACAAAGGGCTCTTTACCACCACCTCGTTTCCACCCACCCTCGGCAGGGGGGCAATGCACGACTGACAGACAAATGCCCAACGAAGACGCTGTCAGTTCGTGGCGAAGCAATGCGGGACGCCGCATTGTGTACCTGCTGAGGTTTTTCGCAAGCTGTCACCCTACTGTTCCACGTTTTGATTCATGGTTCTTCATGATACGTCCCTCAAACCTTTTGCACCTTTTGCACCGCAGCTGAGCCGCTGATCGCTTCCACTTGAGCGTTTTGTGAAACACTTTTTCAACAATACTGTTCTGCTGACTCATGCGCCTTTCTGTTCCTTCACCTTCATTCTCAGCGTGGGAACTGAGTTAACTGAATACAATTGTCAGAGTGTGTTTCGCTCAGCCGTCCCACTCGGGTGCTGAGTGTGATCCCCGTCACAGGGGCGCTGTTTTTGCATAGGAAATCACCCACCTCAACTTGCCACCTACCACTGGATTTCCACTGGAAATCATTGACACATCCATCGAATCAACTGATGCATTGGCCGCCGGGCCCAAACACAGCAGCTTTACCTCCACTGAATTTTGCAGAATTTTGCAGACTTTTGCAGAACTTTGTAGCGTCTTGCAAGGGTTTTGCATGAGTTGCTTTTTGACGTGTGACATGCCTTTTCCGCAAGAAGAACTCAAGCCCGCATACCGGAGTTCTCAGATCTAATTCGAGATGCATGACCACACCCTACAACACTCTACTTTTTACATCAAAAAATCAGGGATTCCACCACTGCCGGGAGCCAGCGCTTGGCTCTGTCAGGCCTCCAATCCAGACTCCACACCATTCGAAAGTACACATTTCCACCCTCCAGCGCTGAAGCTGCTGCCGCCGAGCTAGTGAGGCTCTATGTCCAAAAAGGACACAACCACCACGCCTGCCACCGTTTTTTGAAAAAAGCGCCGAAGCCGGCGAATTGTGTGTGTCCACCCCTGGACAAAGGGCTCTTTACCACCACCTCGTTTCCACCCACCCTCGGCAGGGGGGCAATGCACGACTGACAGACATTGCCCAACGAAGACGCTGTCAGTTCGTGGTGAAGCAATGCGGGACGCCGCATTGTGTACCTGCTGAGGTTTTCGCAAGCTGTCACCCTACTGTTCCACGTTTTGATTCATGGTTCTTCATGATACGTCCCTCAAACCTTTTGCACCGCAGCTGAGCCGCTGATCGCTTCCACTTGAGCGTTTTGTGAAACACTTTTTCAACAATACTGTTCTGCTGACTCATGCGCCTTTCCGTTCCTTCACCTTCATTCTCAGCGTGGGAACTGAGTTAACTGAATACAATTGTCAGAGTGTGCTTGGCGGGGTTTGTTGAGTGACTTGAAGCTGTTGACTCTGCCTACATAGCCTCAGAACTGGGCAACTTGACGCACGATTATCCGAATTGATTTTCCAATCCTTGGCCTTGATGACTCGACGCACACGTTGTTTCTTTACGGACGTGGTCACCCGTGTCGGCGCATAGAGCTACAAGATAAGCAGCGCTGATTCGTGGGACTGTGAAGATCAAGCAATGCTTCAAGCAGTCCAAGGTGAGCCTTCCGAACTTTGTGGACAGGCACAGGGTTGATGACTTTGAGAATCTGGTGGTGAGTTTTCCAGCTACCCATGTATGGGTGTGGGAGCTTGAAGATGCCCAGAGAATCTCACCATCTGTGCCATATGCCCGAAAACGTGGCCAAGTGACCCAGGTGCGGCTGAGCACAGCAGCTCCTAAGCGCAGATGTGTGATGGAAAAGTGCTGGCAATGCTGCAGAGCATAGCAATATTGTAACAAGCAAGTGATCAGTGAAACTCTGCTTTGATGCGCTGCCCTTACACCGCGATCGACTTGACGGCAAATGGGATTACAGGGGCACCATGAAGCTGGCACAGTTGCAGTACTTGTTTCAAGCAAAGGAAGTACTCAAACACCTGGATGAATGCATCCTCCGCAACAGAAGGTGTGCCACACAGAAGCAGGCTGATGAGGCTCACAGAAGATGGGCCATGCAGAAGCAGGCTGAGGCTGAGGCAGCCCGGCTATAGCTGATGAGGCTTATCAAGAGAAGAGAATGTCACCGACGCCGGCGCCAAAAGAAAAGCTTCCACGACGATATGGAAAGAGATGGAAAGAGCGTGGCTAGCTGATCAGGCTAGACTGTCTTGAATGAAGAAGACGGAAGCACCGACGCAAACGAAAAGAGTCGATCAAGTACAATGACCTCACAAGCCAAAGGCTGGTATCTGCCAACTGCGCCTGCGCGAAATGCATATTTGCGTGAGAGAGCGGGCGTTGCACGCTGGCCAGCCACTCACTACAGGATGGTTGCGCAGTCGTCTTATTGTTTTGAAATCTGTCTCCTTGTAGTTCTTGCTCCGAGGAACTTCTTCCAGGAAATCAGCTGGGCAGCAAAAAGAATCTGCTCAAGAGCAGCTGTGTGCGTGTGTCACCGCTCACCAGCAACGAAGCCTGCTGAACAGCAGGCTGTTGGTGTTTTTCTGTGCTGCTGTTCAGCAACAAAGCCTGCTGGAATGAAAAATAACCACATCGTCTTCCAAAGCTACCCAAACAGGCTGCTGTTCACGATCTTCCATGGTTTCGCCTTTGACGGCAGCATGGAACTGGAAGATGGACCTGTTAGTCACCCTGTAATAAGGTCAGCAACTCTGTGAACAGCAGGCTGTTGGTGTTTTTCTGCGTTGCTGTTCAGCAACAAAGCCTGCTGGAATGAAAAGTAACCACATAGTCTTCTTAATAGGTCCATCTTCCAGTCCCACGCGGGCGTCAAAGGTGAAAACCATGGAAGATTGGGTCCATCGTGGAACCCTGTATGTGGCTGGCTTTGAATGTGTTGGTGTCCAGACTATTTGTGTTTGGACTTCTAGGGGGCACTTGCAACATGCACGCTCTTTTGTAATTTTTGGTAACATTTCTTGTGTCCTGTCATGTTTACTGTTTACTTTACTGTAAACACTTACAGATTGAATGTGTAGATGGGTCATTGATAGTATATCTCAATGATGTTGAGGTGGATGGTGATAGGTGGTGAGTTCGCTAGAATTTGCATTTTCCAGGAAATGCAGGGCAACCGATTTCAGATGTAAAGTTGCATCTTCTTGACACCTGCAGAGTATTACAAACGCACATGTACACAATAAACCGACGCGTTTCCCTTTGCAGGTTGCCTGTGTTTTCATCCGTGTCATTTTGTTTGATATGTTTGTTCATGGTTTCGCAAAAGGCACCTTCCCAAGGACAAGACTGGAAACTGGCCAATGCAAGGAGCTGACCCCTAAGTGCATATGTATTGGTTAAATGAAAAACGTATTAAAAGGCCTCAGTATAGCCTATCCTTTTTGCCCTACATATATAAACACAATATAGATTCAACAAAAACGGGTTTAGTTCAGATTTCCAAGACTCAACCGTTTTCCACTTTGAAGCGTTGAGACGCAGTGCTTTTAAACACTTTGCTAGATTAACCCTTTTAGTATTTGAGGCGGTTCACGACTTTGATGTTCTGCAGCTGTCAAGGTGCTACAAAAAGAAACAATATGATATCTTAAAACGTTTGTGTTTGCTGAGGGTTGACAAACCACAATTGGGCGGAGAGTTTTCTACAGGGCCCAATTTGGGAGGATGTGACTTCTGCCAGCAACCTTGAATTCTAGCAACTGCTTCCTGACCCCATCATGTTCTGCTCCAAGCCCCTGGATTTTAGTCCATCTCTCCATCAGTTCTACCTAGAAAATCATGCGTCCCGAAGGGGATCTTTTGCCTTCTTCGAACATCCTCATTGATCCTTCGAACCAACTCACTGCTCCAGGTCGTTCCCTTCCTTTTGGGGTCCAACAAATCCAATGTGCAACGTTCAGGTGGACTGCTTCATCTATGAGCCACCAGAGGCCAGGGCGCAATGTGGAGCAAGAGCAAGTCCCAGCACTCAGACAACCCCAAAGGTGCAAGTGACACCTAACAAAAGACAGATTCTCAGGTTGCTTTGATGCACTCCACCACATCACGTTCAAACCTTGCCCAGTTCTTCAGACAAAAAACATGGTGCGGATTCTACTTGAATTCCCAGATCGCACTCTTTGCCGCTCTCTTTGCTGTCCAGACGCGATGCAAGCGTCAGGAGCACCACCATGAGTTTTTTTGTTAATCCATCTTTGTGTGCTTCACTCCTCTCTGTGGGATTTGCACAGTTTCACCTTACACATAGCACTCCCGAGTCGCATCTCAAGCATGATTGATTTCACTACTTCGAATCACCCCAATGAACATCTCAGTTTTTGGGCACCGGCCAGATCGTCTTTGGTGTGGTGGTGCGGCACGTGTCCGGGGTGGGCAGCCATCATGGCGCCAGTGGTCCGTACACGGTGGACAGGACACCCATGGGGTGAGACTCAAGGAGGACATGAGAATCAGTTGGGGATTGATCTACTTGGAGTCCGTTGGAGTCCGTTCCGCGTTGGTGGAACGTTCCGCCAGAGGTTCCAAATTCCACCTTTCAAGGTGTTTAGACCGTCCAAGCCTCTTCCAAATAAATTCTCAAGAGGTACTGACTTGGAGCCCCTGAGATCAAGAATTACGCTCCGCCAACCTCGCCGTCAGGCACCGCCTCAACTGGTTCAGGTGGATAGCCCCAGGCGGGATTTTCTTTGCGCACCAGGCAACTAGATTTGTTTTTTGCTCAAAAAGCCAGATTTGAGGACTTGATCTTGCGTGGCTTGTGGTTAAAACAGCCAGAGCACCTGCCCCGGGACCAGAACATGGGTTTTTCAAGCCACAATGCCAAAAAGAAATTGGACATGGATGAGTCGATCTGCAGTGATTTTATGTGATTTTGCTAGTTTTGAGAGCTCTCTTAGCTAGTCTTATCTCCTGGCTTTGGTCGACCACCCGTCGTTTTGAGAATCACAGACGGGCGATCCATTGGGCGGAGACGAACACCAGGACCACGCCGGAGACGAGCCATCTACTAGCATCTAGACGGTTGAGTCTATGTTGAGTCTATCATCCCAGGTATGAGTCTACTATCAGTAGATGAATGTAGATGATAGACTCAACCCTGATCAACCAATCTATACTATGTCAACTTTCGTTTTTGTTGGGCCCTGGGGTGTTGTTTTCTTGGACCCATCCCCATCCCTTCTATGCCAAAGTGGACATGCTCCGGACAAATCTTTTGGCATCCTTGACCCCATGGATCCCTGACGCGGACAGCAGAATCGGGCGATGTAGGGAGAAAATTTGTTGTTCTTTTTTGTCAGGGAATGGCCATGGCCATGGATGGCAGGGTAAGTATGGAAGGCCATGGTTGTTCTGAACCTTGGTTAGTAGCCATCCAGAACCATGGATGGCCATGGTTCTGAAAGAGGTCCGGTTTGTTATGGAAGATCTGACTGTGCTGTACCTATATAGATTCTATATAGGATAGAAGGATACGGGAAAGCGCTACACCGGGCTTTGAGGTGCTATCTGTTGAATCGGGTGTCATTGTTTTGTTTCCAAATTGGAGGCCGCGTCCCCATTTAGTTTTTTGAGCACCAAGAAGCAACCAGCCAATTGTTTGTCTTGTTTGCCACCCTGGTGTGTTGTTGTTGTTGCTGTTACTGTTGCCGCTGCTGCTGCTGTTGTTGTTGACCAACAATCACAATCAATGAGCATGAACCATTTCGACGAAGATTAAGTACGGAGCGCAAAGTTGGTGCGGCTCACGGGGCGGACAGCTTGGTGGCCGAAGAAAGCCATCCTATCCAAGTAGTAGGTTGGGTACTAGCCTCAAAAGGGCCTAGTCCCCATCTATGTAGGATGGTTAGTAGCCATCTTCGGGCTGGGTTGAGTTAGGTTAGGGGCGGACCACCTAACCCAACCCACACCTACTGCACAGCAGCATAGCAGCCATGCTGCAATGTGTTGCGCCATGCTGCAATGTGTTGCAGCATGCTGCAACATGTCGCTACTACCACGTGTTTGGGGCACCAACAACTTGATGATGTGACAACTTCCGTGGTTCAGCACTTAGTTGGCCCATGGAGTTGCACACCAACCAACGCCACCGCGGAAGCACCCGAACAGGTCATCCGGAACAACCCTGGGACCTCGCGTGCAGAGGTCGCTGGCGGTGACGTCGGGCCAGCTGGCCCAAGCGGAGGGAGATGTGAGGCCCGGACAAAGCGGGCCCAGGTGGGTGGAGCTGAAACGATTGTTTCCAGTGTTCCTTCACCAACAGCTACCTGCGTTGTGAACCTTATATAGTAATGGCCTAGCACTTAGAATATTGAGTTATTCATTGTTAATTCCACATAATTCACTGGAGGGCGCCGGGGAGAATATATTTTAACTGTGTCGTGTGCAGATAGAGTACACGGGAAATGTACACCGGAGTATGGAAACAGCCGGGAAAAGAGTGTGTGGCATTGTGGTTTTGACTTGAGCTGCTTAGTATCTAGAATATGGTGGCCCATATATATATATATATATATTCTAACTGCTTTGGTTTCTCACCCCGTGACCTGTAAATAAGGGTACTCTAAGTGCCTACTCATTAAAATCGACTATTATATGTGCTGAGCCGTTACTAACGCATAAATATTATGCGTGTTGTTGTTGTTGTTGTTGTCAAATTTAAGACGTGTTTTTCCTTTTTGTTTTTGCAGGCTAAGATGAAGTGAGCAAACAGTTTTGCAGCTAAGACAAACAGTATTTTCTTGGATTACATATATTATATGTACTTATATCATAGAGGTCCGAAGCAGCAATGAACAAAAATATCACCTGGGACCACGAATCAGTTCCACACAAGAAAGCAATGTGGTTTCCAGAGGTCTGTACCCAATGGAGAATACGTCACCGCTACGATGATTGTGGGCTGTGTGCACTCAACTCCAAAAATTATTGGGTCGTTTCAGTTGGTCAAAGATTTTGTTTGTGAAATGTGAAAATCAACATTGTATAGTTCAATCACTCGAAGTTTGTCAACCTACTTGGTCCTGACGCAATGCCAGGACGGTGGATGAAGCCCTCTCAGATGTATTGGAAGGCTCAAGGACAGAAGGGCAAGGCACCATGTTTGGTAGATTGGCAGTGGAGTGTCAATTGGGGAAGGACGGCTGTTGCATACCTTCACAACCTCATTGTGTTTCCTTCAAGACTCCTTGTGAAACAATCCCAAGCCCACATGGTGGTTTGGTCAGGAGTTCTCCACGGCCTCTCTTTGGGATTTCGCGAGGAGAACCCCCAATCGACAGGATCAAGAACCACAAATTGAACAGAACGAACACACCAGGAACCTCCACTATGGGAATTTCATAAACGGCGGTCCGCAGGCAGATGGATCTTGTTTGCTGTACTGTGATGTAAGCGACACGCTCGACCTACAGCCAGCTAATGCCAGCTATATTGCAATATCAACCACTCAATGTTATGTTCGTATCGCAAAAGCGCATCAGATTGGTTCTAGGGATGTTGCATTCAGCCAGGCGGTATTTGCCTGTGTTGTTTCTGAGCTGTAACGAGTTGATCCAACCCCCTGGGGCCCCTAGGATCTCCCCTATGTTTTTGGCAAACCCAATCATGTTTGATCAACGTTTCCGGTGCCTTCAAAAAGGATCAACTCAAAATTCTTGAATAAGTGCATCGCTACTAGTAACAAGTGCCACGCTTCTAGTAACAAGTGCCTTACTAGTAGTAGCAAAGAAGCTACTAGGGTTCTCCTCCAACTCTCATCACATGGGGTCCGCCGCTGCAGGACACAGGACCTTGGAGAGGCGTCCCCGACCCAAAGCGTGGGCCGTGAAGAGACCCGCGCGGTCTGTAACGTAGGTGCAGCAGAGACCGGCGCTGTTGAAGCCACCGCTGCATTTAGACAGGAGACATCGTCAATTCAAACTACTGTTGTTTTCGAACACAGTCGTTGAATAAACACGGAATCATCAGAATATGTGTACCAACCAAAATTGGATGTGGCTTCAGCTGGATTCTATACTGTGTGTTTGATTCAAGAAGCTGCACGGTTCATTTTGGGTCGATATGGTGTGGTTGAGTGGTACTTGGCATGTGAAGGAACAACATGACCCGACCACACCGTAACCAGCGGAATACATTCATGACACACACACACACAATTTCAACATCGCGGTGGTAAGTCAGCTGCTATTTGTTTCATAATTTTTCCATTATAGCCCACTCCGTATCTTTGACATGCAGACACAGATTTTTGTTTTTGGTATAGTCGGGAGACGCGGTTGACCTCCCACAAGCACATCAAACAAAAACCAACAAATTGAAATGCACAGGTTTGCAATGTGCCTAGGATCCACATCCGATTTTTCCTGATTCATAGTTCTTGAGGTGAGGGAGGCTTAGACCATCACCCTGTTTGGCCGAACTCCCGGCGTAGCTCCCGGGGGCCGGTGCGAGCCTGAAGAGGGTGGTAGGGCAGGTTCATGGCCTCAGTCACCCTTCCCCAATCTTTCCATGGAACTGGAACATTGACCTACATTACATTGAGCAAGGAATAATATTCCATGCTCATGCATGGAATGTTAGGGTTTGATGGATTGTGAACTGAAACAATGTCGAGATCCCGAATTAGAGGATGGGGGAACTACTGTGAGACTGTGAGACCATGTCTCTGCCGGAGATGCAAGTGGACAAACTTATTGATGGAATATGTATATTGCAATAGGGCCACAAATGGAGGAATACATACACGCGAACATATAACATATTCCAGTCCCGTAGTTGCCTTGGGTTTGCCATCCAACCTTCCGGTCACGGCGTCGGAACGCAGGAAAGACGGCCGGATCTGCCGGAACTCCGACCGACCCGTCCAGGTGCAGTTGATCCGCGCCTTAAATCCACGGAGCCCGAACATGTGGCTCATCGGCACGGAAAGCCCAGCGGGTGAGAGATCCGGCTCTCCCCGGGTTCGGGAAGAGTCTACATTAAAGGCCATGAACATGCCCTAAGGATGCAAGTACCCTCTGAGAAGGTGTTTGGGGTGGGTTTGGAGGGTCCAAGTACCTTCTGAGAAGGTACTTGGATCCCTATGGGGTAAATGTATCCCAGCCACGACTAGTGTAGGACTGACATCTTGACCATTCATCCCTGCAAAACAGAAACCATCCCAAGAGTCCCATAGACATAGTTTAATGGAGTGGGTATGGAACTCGTCACATGGTCGGTGGCACGGCTCAGGACCCCCATCAACCTAGTGCAAGCTGGAACATTAGGAGAATTCTTTTTTGGGGGGATCTCCAGGTATAAGACACGGATGGATGGATGGATGGATGGATGGTCCAGAGCTAGGTGGTATATGGCATATGGATTTCCATGCATTTCAATGGAGAGACTCAAAAGGTCTACTTGTTCCTTCTTCCCGCTTCTTGCAGAGAATATTTTTTGAAGGGTTCTACCTATTCCAATGCACACCCATGTGTAGCTGTCGCCCTTTGACACGTTGAGTCCGTTGAGTTGCGTTGTTGGATACGTCCATGCACTGTTGCTGTTGCTGTCGAAACACACGACACAATCGACCAGATGGTCAATTGGTGAACAGATTGAACGCCCAATGCACGAAGCTTACAAGATCGATCAAGGTCGCAAAGACGGACGATGGTCGCAGCATGACTCTCCAGGGCCATTTAACGATCGAGCAGGATGGCAAGCAAGAAAGGCATTCGGAATATGGGCTCACCGGTCTTCTTTTGGTCATGATATCATTGGGCCGCAGCGCTGGGAGATGCTCCACAACCCGGAAGCGAACATCCGGAAGGAACCCAGGAACCGATGGAAGCGCCAGTGGGGACTGCATCTGTCGGGAACTACGAAGTAGAAGCAGAAGCGAAGTCTATAAGAGTCTAGTGACCTATAGAGGTGAAATATCTTACTTCATCTTGGACGACGAGTGACCATGGCTTCGAAAAAGCTCTGGGGCCTATTGCGTACAGAGGTGATTGCATCAAAGACGAGAACGCTGCAGCAGCTGTATATTAAGGAGATTTGTGCCAACCCAGCCGCCTATAGCTTGTGATAGCCTTCTGGGCGCACCACAGGCTTTCCGGAAGCCTGAGTACAAGTCACAGATCGTGTTGCTCTCACAGTTATCCCAAAATCTGAGATGGTCACGCCACAAGCCATCATACTGACCTAGAACCCAGACATGATGCCTGTTTTGTTTGATGGGAGAAGACAGGTGAGTTTGGTTCCAGGGATATACTTCCTTGGTTGTTCCAGAACAAGCAATGAAGAGTAGAACGACACACAAGAACAGGGTGGAACACTTGCTTTGTCAGTCAACAATTCAGTTCCAACAAGCACAGACCAGTTCATTGCGCTTTGGATGTGCACGATCTATAGGAAGTACCAAGACCTGTTCCATGATGTTCCATGGACAAAGTGCAGGATCATATCATCTCGTGGAAAGACCAGGAGGTATCATAGATAAAGGCGATCCGGCTAGATATGTTTACATCTGCATATATAAACCCGTTGAAGCTGCCACATGGACCAGGTCCTGAACCCTGAGCTTCGGACCAGGGAACCGTACTACCCAGGCCCCGCCCCGGTCACCGGCACCGGTCACCGAGGCGACGCCGCGGCGGGGCGCGTGATCGGACGACGCTCCGAGGACGGAGCTCCGGAGCACGAGCCGCGTCTTCGGAGGTTGGAGCGAAGAGCGTGGATCGTACGAACAACTGGATGCGCTTTAAGCGCATCCGGAGGATTGGAGGTCCGAAGTGGAGATCCTGAGGAGAACTTTCACCTTAGTTGGTTCATGGCAGATTGACCGGGTGCCTCCAAGAATTTGCTGGTCAAACCAGCCGAATTGTCAGCGATTCGGCGATTCGTCAGAGTCTGGGTGGATTTTCCTGGTTTCCACGTGGGCAAACATCTATACCTGCTGGGGAGTTGGAGAGCCAATGTACATTCTTTCCCTAGGCCTCCAAGTACCTTCTGAGAAGGTGTGTGGGGTGGGTTTGGAGGGTCCAAATACCTTCTGAGGAGGTACTTGGAGGTGCATTCTTTGTGTATTACATTGTATTATATTGTATTACTGTGCACGCTGAGGCTCCAATGTCAGCCTCCACTTCGGTCTTCAGGGTGGGTGCCAGGAGGGTCTACAGGTACTGTACGTGGACTGGAGTTCTAGGGGTATGAAGCAATTTTAGACTCGAAATGACCCACCAAACCACATAGCTCAGGATTCCAATGACCCATGTCACCTTTTCTTGGAACTTGCAGGTTTCGTCACTGGAAACCTGGAAAAAGTGCCTTCAGGTTCCAGTTCCCTTTTTGAGTCCGTTTTTTGGCAGCTGAATCATACACCTCTAAGAAGATGGGTTCCCCGCCGTATGATGAACTCTACCGAATCGCTGGGCGCAGGAGGTGCCCTCTCGGAGGAGGACCAGGCGAAGCCGGAACAAGAGGGACGTGTTTGTTGGGAGGAGCAGAACAGCAGAGGAATGTGTTCACTACCCTACAGTCCCTGCCACTGCAAAGCGGGGTCTCCAGCCAGGACACGCCGATGGTCCAGGTATATAAGTATACAGGAGTGGTTTCAGAGCAGATGGCACAATCCTCATCAATCCTCATCAATCCAGTTAGGTGGTTTGGACATATTTGTGGTGGTGCTCCGTACTAGCCGAAACACACACTGAAAACGTGAGGACGGAGCGAGTGCCGCAAGCGCCTTCGTGTGGCTCCCCAATGGGGCGTGGGGAGATGTTCAGCTAGTGTCACATATACATGCAAGGGGGATGCACGCTTACGCCCTATAATCCATATTCTGACCCCCTCCCGTTTTGATGTCCTCCAACTTCTGTCGCACCTCCCGCTGCGTTCCATCCAATCACCTTGAAGCAGCCTCAAAAACCTGAGAATTTCGGTCGACTTTTGCCTGGAGCTGGGCAGATGTTTTGATGTGGCCCAAACACTGAACCGTTCTGGACGGATACACTCCCGAAAACTCACATAGACCCTGACGTCCTGGCCCCCTGGGTCCGAGTGTAGGCTCCTCTACCAACCGACGTGGTGTACTCAGGGTCCATGGGATCGTCTTCGAAGAAGAAACAAGATGAAATCTAATAAAATCTGTCCATTGGTTTTCATCGCATCCGTTTTGTTTTTGTTCCAGGGTTCTTCCAGGGTGTGAGATCGAAGTTCACCACTTCACCCTCCCCTCTGATCAGAGTTCTGAAGAAGAAGTCGGATGGTCGATGATGGTCGGGAAGTGACGTGCGAGCAGCTCACATGCATGGAAGAAGAATGGAACAAGTGACATGAGGTTGAACTTTTTGGCGGTTGAGGGCTGAAGAGGAATGATGGCACTGAAGGTCCGGTATAGTCGCCATCCCTGGTGTAGCATACCCCCACATGCCGAAAGGAACAGTTTCTTTAGTCCCTCATGGATCCATGGTTTGTCATCCACCTGCCACCCAAATTACACCATATGTACCAGGAAAACACTCCTGCTCGAGTAGTGGCAGCCATTTTTGGTCCGTTCGTCCACCAGTCCACGGTTTGAACCGCCACGTGGCCGTCCGTCCACCGTGTTCGAGGCCGAATACATCCAGGCCGGACACAGAGAAAAGGCATGGGAACATGGACCATCCATCCGATGCTTTAGATGGTGGGCAGAATGCTTATAGCATAGCATCTAGATTAGCCTTGGGATGTAGATTTGTTCAGGATGTGTTAGGACTCAGGACTTTCTGAAGGCTCGTGGTTGGTTGGTCGAAATCTATCTTTAGTATTTATAGTATGTGAAATATGTTCATGATTTGTTTTGATGTTTGGATTTGACGTTTGTTGAAGGGGTCATCTTAGGAGATGACTTGTTTGTGATCCAGATTGGTCATTTCCATGTGAACTACGGAAGGGGTGCTGAGCAGATTGTTCGCAGTTCTCTTTGTGTATATAACACAGGTGTTTGAGGAGGGTTACGAGGTTCCGCGATGGGAAGATCATGGAAGAGCATCCAATCCTTGCAATCTAGATATATCAGCACGCTTGAAGACCCAGTCACAACCAGACACAAATGGTTGCTTCATGTTGTTTCCACAATATATTGTAATTGCTCGATCCTTTGCATAACAAGTGGTCGTCGTGGATACATCTGTTTTGCGGGGACTGGCTTTCCAGGCATGTGGCATGGATCTGGTTTTTAGTGATTGTTGTGGATGATCGATCGATGTACATCTGTGACGGGTGCATGACTTCGTTTTTGTTCCCCTGTTCTTGAATAGGCTCGTTCGTTCGCGCATGACCTGGTGCCCACTCTTGCAGTAGGGGTGTCTACCGAATCGAAACTTTGCGAGGTAGTCCGAGATGCCTGGCACTTGGTGCCTGAGCGACGGCGGGCCGAGAGTCCTCCTTAGCGTGAAGGCGCGCGAGTGGCCGGTTGGGTACAGTCTGAACGACTCTCTGGTGACAGCCCAACCGGGGGCACCCAAGGAATTCTAGGCCGGTCTTCCCATGGAGAAACCATGGAGAAACGATCCCCAAGCTTTGCGATATTGAGAAAGAACACATGAAGTCTTTAGCCCAGGAAAGAAGCACATGATAGCACATGCATTTATATATATATACTTTAAGAGATAGAGCTACGCTGATTTTAGTTGCATCCTGCCGTTTTCTGGGGAATGGTGGGCCGGGGTGAAACAGGTCTGACAGAGAACAGGGCTTGTAAATAGATTGATCGAGTCAGAGATCAATCCATATGCCCAGACACTCCATTGGAATACCAGGAGCTACAAAGGGGTGGTGCTCAGTCCCTAAGTGAGTGGATAATGCGCACTGGGCTACATTCCTCGGGAGTTCACCACCAGTATGGTTTGAGGGGTCAGTGTAGGTTAGATATTCCATACGATACCAGTCCCATCAAGTCTCCTCAGGACACATGACAGTCTCACCCTCAAGGTGTCCGAGTGTCATATGGCTGGACCCAGCCCTGTTAACGACGCTTGCGGCCAAAGTTGCTGCAGCCAGCTGAAGATCAGCAGGCCGAAGCTCAGTGTTTGTGTCTTTTTTTGGCCGGCGAGAAATCGCCATAGATGCCGCGGCCTCGGCAAAAGAAAGACAATCGGAAAATGGACTGCCGCAGGGTCGAGCTGTGTTTCTATGAAATCCCTTTGGGTTCCAAAAGTATGAACTTGTCCCAAGCACCTCTGATATGTTCTGATAACTTCCACATTTGTTCGTGAACATGAGCCAATGAGACCACTCCTGAGAGACATTCCCATACCTGGATTTTCCTCGTTTGTTTTGCCTTTTCATCTATCAACACAGCCAAAATAACCAAAAGGCAGACATGTTTCATACTGGAGTTGGAAGATCGAGATCCATCTATGGGTATATGATTATCCATCGCATCACAAGGTTCTTCACCGTTTCAACGCGCCAAAAAATAGATGGGTCTTATGAGATGGTCGGGCCACAGGGTCACAATCCAGTCCAAACACTCGGGTCATGGGACTGGGACCCTAGGGCTCCTGGCCCAGATCCGAAGGTATGACTGGACCCTCCTGGCACCCACTCCAACCATTGCAGCCCAGATGGGTTTATGGATATTGACCTACATCGCCTGGGTCTAGATGGTCCGACCTTTGAGCGGGGGCCGCCCATATCATGTGTTTTCCCGGCCATGGCCCACTCCTAGCCGTTTGGAGGACTGCCAGGTCCCACAGTCGACGTCGTGCCAGTAGGGCGCCTGTGGTGTCACCGAAGATGGCGGGTCGTAGCTCTTAGATTTTCAGGCTATTTCACATGATCTAAGTTAAGTCAGTGTGAGTCTGAGTGCATTTTGACTGGCCAGGCGAGCTGAGAGGAATATCTTTTTGGATCAGAGACTGAAGCACTCGGTTTTGTGGGGTCCTAACTGCTTCCATGTTCCGAGAAGCAGAGTGCTGTTCATCATGGGGTGCCAGCTTCATCTCCAGGTCTTCGTTCCCAGTAGTACAACGTCCTTCTTGCACCTCCACTTTGCCAGGTGCCACATACTTTTGATGTCTTTGACCCAGAGTTCTTTCCTTGTTCTTTTGGTTTTGTGGAATAACACTGAGTGTATTCTCCACTTCACGGGAAACCACGTCTTTCTCTTCAAGGTAACGCACAATTAGCAAGCAGGGCTCTGGACTTTGCAAACTGGGTTGGTTCCGCCCAACCATGTGTGTATTGAAGATATATACCTCGATCTTCTAACTGTAATAGTTCTCCAATCCCGGGATTTTAGAGATACGTAGAATTTCCACATTACCTCTTTTGGCCCTTGATGTAATTTCTGCCTTTTGGCTAGCTTTATAGATGACAAGGCAGAAATTAAGGGGACCAAAGACTGCACCCTGCCGCCTCCTTGGGGGCGCCGAAAAGCTGCGGCGCCCAGCGAAGCCGCATCCGGCGACTAGTCGCTGCTCAGGGCATCTTTGTGCTCATCCATAAGGCAGATGTTGGAGATCTCATCCGCCTAATCCCCAACCAGGCGCGCGGTAACTTGACATCTCAGGCAATCGAGCCGGACTTGACATGTCTGGGCGGGGTTGAGGTGTTTTCACACCACCCATCTTATCTGCAGATGCTCCGCAGAGGTTCACAAAGGGATCGCCTAACCTGCAGCATGCAGTATATATGTTGAACTATCCTGATATCATGTTGTAATATTATATACCCTAGCATCCAATACCCTTAAAAAATAAAGGGAGGACAAACATTCACGAGGTTTCATTTGGAAACCCGAGGTTTCCCAACTTGAGAGTGTGACATGTTTGCTTGGCTTGCTTCGCCGCCTTTTCAGAGTCCGCCGTGGTCTGCGTGACTTTGACTTCATGCCGTGGACTTAGAAAGCCAGCTTCACAAAAGAACATGCGTTAGCACACAAGTGTTCATCATACAACAAATACACATGACATACCCTGCTGGTCGATGCGGATGGTGTTGCATGGCGTTTCTTTTACTCTGGCTTGACCAAGTATCCACAGTCAACCCACTTAGCGAAGGCAGCTTTTAAATACCTGTCCATAATCCTGGACAAGCTCAAGTCACTGGTCGCAACCTTTCTCGAAACACGTGATGCCCGGCCGATGAAGTCCTCGTTTTGCTGACAGCTGGTGCCCAATGGGTTTAGGGCATATCGGTTATCTTTCGAGGCTTTGCTGAGTGCCACCAACCAATGTGGAATGATGTGAATCTTGGGTTGGAAGACGAACAAGTTCTTGTGCTGAGCATGTGCCTCTTGGGCCAATTGCTCGTAGCGTCGGAGAAAGCGAAACCCAAGTTCAGAAATCTGGTGGCTCTCTGACGGAGAGAGAAAAAGATCAGCAGAATACATGCCCCTGATGCATGCCTGTATCGCATGACATGCTTCTGCAGCCTTGGTCAGCATTGGATCATCAAAGCTTTCGCTGAGGAACCGCCATTCAACATACTCCATTAAAACTGTTGACAACTCGCCCTTGTGCCAACTTCCTGTTGGAAACTGGGACGTAGTGGTCCAATTCAACAGCTCCTTGTTGATCTTGATCACATGCGCACGTCGCTTGTGCACACGACACCATGTCTTATATTTTTCAGTCAGGGAGTCGAAGCGAGCATCCACACTGGAGTGTGGTTCCAGTTCGCTAAGAATCACCAGAACTGATCCCAAGTAGTTTTTCGATACACCAAGGTGCCATACATGGAATAGGTCGTAGGCCCACAGCTCAGATAGCCGATCTTCCACGTGCAACACAACACTGAAAGGATTTGGTTCATCAAATGGACTTTCCTGGTGAAGCGTGGAGAGCCATTTTGGCCTTCTGGTGGCGATTTGTTCGAACTGCACATCACTCGTTCCTGCCAAGCACAAGTGACATATGCCTGCCAATCTCCTTTGGGACAACCTTTTTTGAACTGTAAGGAACGATCTCCGGAAGTATCCACTTTTGTGTAAAAACGGCCAATCGCCACAAATGTGAACCAATTGCATCCAGTGCCTTTCACCTGAAAGGCTTTCAGCGCCAACCTCACACATGTGCGCCGCCTCTGTAGCAGCCTCTTCCAGAACCAACTTCCAATTGTGCTCGCGCTTGTCGGTGTAGTCACGTTTTCTCAGGCCTGTAAAAAGCCACCTGCTGGTGTAGGAATGTCCTTTGAAGTTCGGCTTCAATTTTAGGTAGCGCTTCAAAGGCTGCGCTTTCTGCTTCTTTTGCAAGCAAACGCCACGGCCCAGCATTGGGTAAAAACTCAAGACCATGAATGGTGATCGCTTGCGCGATCTGCCCTCGTCCCCATGAAAACATATTGGAGCAACTCGGCTTAAACACACTTCTCCACGAGCAGCCTTCTGGAAGATGGGGTGCTTCGGGTTCCACTGCTTGTAGCGTGCCCAAAACACTTTCAATATGGATCTCTCCCTTTTCTGGTCTGGTCGGACCAGTCCCGTGCAAAGGTGCCAGCAATTGTGTTTCAACAGAAATCGAGCCCAATCCCTGAGCCTAAGCAAGGGAATGTGGCAGCCATCATCTTTTGTTGAAAGCCTAGATTGCGGAATGTCCAGCGCTAAGCCATACTTCTTTGCTAGAACCTTGTGTGTCTCTCTTTCGGAGTGTCTTGGATTGCAACGTGCAATATCTAGAAGGCCCACGGACCGTGAAGCAGCACGTGGACCAATATCTGCAACGACGTCCCGGGCGGTATTGATGGCCGCGGCACAGGAGGCCTAGGTAGCAGGTGTATCACACACACAGACATCGCAAAGCATGCAGTTGCTCCATGCTCCGCAACACAACATGATGTGTTTGTGACTCAGATATGGAATCTGCTAGCATTCTCAAACATATGTATAGCATGTGCCCAGGCTGCCCAGGAGTTCTTTTCACTCTCTTTGTGCGTCTCATTGTATGGGAGCGATATTGGCATGTGCAGTACACGATGCAAATGAAATTCAAACAGCACAAACAGCTTTGTGTTGTGGCTGTTCGATAGGTGGTGGGTGCTTGAAACTTTTGTAGACAATGTAGGTGCTGAAAGAGTCTTCTCCTGAGGTCAGCGATGGCTTCACAGTATCTCCGCCGCTCTTCACGTTTCTGCAACCCGGAGTGCCTTGGAGGGAGTGGTCAATGAGGATCCTACTCCTTCAACACGGATAATACCGTTGAGAACAAAGAACTATTTGGGTGGAAAGTTCGCAGGGGTTCCAAGCAAATGTTAAACATCGATACCTGGTCACCCCTCCAGGTTTTTTACAAAGGGGATTGAAGATGGTGCCTGGAGACATTTGTAGATGTCGATCAAGGCAGCTTCCAGCATGGCAGGGCTATAGGGCTCGTTGGTCTCAAAAACCACAACCATGGTGGACCATCTATCCAAATCTTTGTGATATCCGTAGATGTCGTTTCCCCAGCGCCATTGAGGATCATGTGTGTATCCGATCTTGAATATCATAGGGGCGTGCTTTGCAAGCAAACCATCCACAATGTCTTTGGAATGTTTCAAGATGCGACCAGCGGAAAGTCCAGCTTTGGGGGTTTTGTATTCGATTGGAGCGAACATGTTCCAAAGCAGTCCAGACCGAGAACGTTCTACAGAGCCCGTGTGTTTGATTTTGCAACCCATTCGATCCAAACAACCTGTAGGTTGTTCCACAGGTCTAACCAGAGCTTCCCTCTTCAACTCATCGCGCATTGGCGGCTTCCAAGGCAGCGATGTTGGCTGGCCACTCCTTGCCCAAGGGAATGGAAGATGCTTGTCCTCATTGTTCGGGCGGCAACACGGTTGAGGGTAATCAAGAACCACCAGTTGTCATCAGGCCTCGTATATTTTTTTTATAATAGATCGCTCGTTATATTACAATATGGTTTCAAGGCTGTTCATCATAACAGCAAACGAGGTTCAGAGCGATGGCACGTAAATAGCTCCCACAATTCGTCGTCGGCGCTTTCAGCCATCATGGGCAATGTTAAAGCCGAGCGTTTTTCATGGAACCAAAAAGGCTTTCGGACGAAGGTGTGTGAACCTTTGACTTTATCCCACCAGGCAAGCACTCGGTCTTTGCTTGGGCACCCCGGCTCCCTCACCAATGCGTTCAGCCATGCCCCGTGCTACTTTTCCTGGGCGTGGACCTGGCATGGAGTGGAGTAGACGCGCCAACAAAGATATATAATTAAGGGGGTCTCACTGCAAGCACCTTTTTGAGCGATCCCCAAATACAGCTCGAGTTCGGCGCACAATTTGTATAATTTGACATTATGGTCAAAACCACAATGTACAAAGCAGGTTCTATAAAGAAAGTCATCCGCTTTGTGCCACCACGGTCCATTTATGCATGCATGTATATAGAAGCTTTTCACCAGTGAAGAACACGTTGAAGAAACACAAGGGACGGACAGATGGTCATAATCTTGAACTCCAACTGCAAAGCGGTAGCCGTGGTGGGTTATACTCATGCCTTTTAGCAGAGCCTTCTCACACGGATGGACCACCCAAAATGCTCTAAGCTATATACTAAGACTTACTTTTTGGTCTTAGGACGAGACTTGCCCTTGACCTTGGCCTTTACCTTTGGGATCTGTTTGACACTACCATTACCCTTGGAGCCAGTAGTGTCCGCTCCCTGAGCATCATCTGACGCAGACTTCTTCGTGAAGAACTTCTTGTTGGTCCTTTGTTCAACATGAAGGGACAACCAATACCATCTATTACGATCCTAACGAAGAAGCTCGATATTGAAAACAATATTCATGCACTTACACACGCAGGTATGCTCATCAGTTTTGTAAGGTCGATGTCCTGGCTTTCAGCTCCGCGGATGCTGCCTTGCTGCACCTCAATCCAGGTGGCGAAACTTGGTCACAAACATGGGTGCCTGTTCAATGGGGCCCGTGCACAACACTGGCTGCCTTCATGGATTTCTCGGCGAGGGTGTAGAACCTTCAGAGAACTTCACTGCAATCACAACGGTATAGCCATGTTCACGATACGAAGTGCATTGAACAGGGCTGGAACGAAGGTTTCCTAAGCTAGGCACGTTTCAGTGAAGAAGCCTTCGGACTCACCTTTGCACCATACGTCGCTGCAATTATCATATTCCCGGTCGATGCCGGCGATCTCCGTGCTCAAGGAATTGATCGACCTGGGTGCAAAATGGATCATCATGCTCGAGATCTATATATGTTGTTTATTCCACACCCGATCTTCTTTGCAAGAACCTTGTCTCAAAAACATGAGCGTGGTGACGTTTGAGCGGGTGTATCAACCGTGTACTTGGTTTCAATCTCGCGGATGAGGGAGCGAAGTTTCCCTGATTTTGCCATCATACTGTCCAGCACCCTTTTCAAGGCTTCTTTCGTCTAGCAGGGTTTGGGTACGAGTCTGAGCATATCAAACATGCATCCAAAATATATATACAGAATTCATGTTCTTTTTTCCATGAGCACGCCTGTCCATATTTCGAAGTCGGTAGTGGGTCAGAAGCATTACGCTTCCCCTCCGCAGCGTGACGGTTCTCCAAAGCCAACATTCCCTCAAACTGCTTGTCAAACTGGCACTTTGGATCTTCATCAGCCTGCGTATAGATCGATAGATGGAGACGTGACGCTCAATCTATATCAATAAAAAAAACTCAACCAAATGCAGTACAGTTCGACTGATTACACCTTTACAACTTGATCAATCACTTACAAAACCGTTCAGCACATGATTTGCCTTGGATTCCTTTTCATGAATTTCTTCGTAGGTTGAGGTTTCCTCCCGCTTTCCACTTTCACTCACCACTACCCAGAACTCTTCACATCCATCGTAGCGGTTTCTCCTGCCAACAGTTTCGACAAGAGCGACACACGTGAAAACAACGCTGGATGAGGCGGCTGCCACTTAAGCGCAGAAGGTCCTACAATGGGTAGCCCCCATGGACCGGCAGTAGGCGATCGCTCCTTCAATCCTGGTCCTGGGGTATATATCGAGGGCATGAGAAAACATTGATATCCATTGCATGGACAAACGGTTGTTCATTATCGTTATATGGTCTATATACGAGGTAACACAATGCACGGTGCCCACCTTGACCATCCTAGTTCCTTTAACTCTTCCTCAGTGTGCCAGCCCTCGGAGACAGTCAACTGAATGACCTGTTTCTTGGATACGGCAATTTTGATCTTGGCCAGAAAGTCTTCCTGGAAATGGCTATGCACAAGGAACACTATATATATACCGGTCGATATAACACAAAAGACTTTATTGTTTCAATGAAACACAGTTTGAGTAATATGGAATCCTGGTTGAAATTGCAGTGGCAGTAGAGGTCGGCAATTTGGTTCCGGTTCCCGGACTCCCATTCCTTTCTAAAGAACTCAGGCGCATCGAGATTCTTGCGCTTCTGGTGCGGGCGGATCCACCTGTAGATCTTCGCCTTCGCCGCTCGACGAAGCCTTTCCTGGATGGGGCCACTCTACCGTACGCGACATGTGGCATACTGGGGCAGCTTGCAAGTCACAACTGCCAAACAATAGATCGATCTATACACTTCAAACAGCACTTCAATCGGGATGGCCTTGCGGGTTTCACCCATCTCACGATGGCCACGAGGATCAATAGCGCCACCAGCTCCAGGGGTGTCTTCAACGATTTGAGTAGCAGGCGTCTCAGGTAGCGGACCTACTTCCTTCAGCTCGTTGGGGGCTTCACCCTCTAGCTTCGTTTTTTTGGTGGGTGGCTCCACGAGGGCACTGGGTTCAATGGGTTCATCGGTTTCATTTAAAACCGGCTCACCGCTCTTGGCCCGCGCCGGAGTGGCAACTGGCACTACAGGTTCAGTGCCGGACAGTGCTGCATCACCAGCCTCAAGAAATGAAAGCACTGTTTGTTCTGAAGCAACACCCAATGAAAGGTACCACATGTGCGCATTCATGTTCTATAGATTTGAATTTCAGTAACCATGAAACTTGCATGCATATCATGGTTTGCATGGACAATATCCTCCAAAAACTGAGCAAAAGACATTGTAAAGATCTGCCGACTTAAGGAGCTCTTCGGCTGTGGCCTGGGAAAGCGGGTCCATGATTAATTTACATGTTGCTGCCACAATCAAATGGTTGACCCATCCAAGGAATGAGCCGGGACCGTATCTGGCAAGGATTCCTCGTGATCCTTGGCAAGGTTGCTTGTGATTCCGATAGCGCTCCCGTTTTGGACCCCTTGTGTTCGTGTCCACAACTATAAGAAGAGATTGACACTCAGTATCTGGAACAGTTTTTACTTGAAGCTGAGATAGTGGCCTTCACCTCAATCACCTCCGGAAAGGCAAACTGCATGTCAAAGTCGATGTCCTGCACATTTGCCAGATCCATCGTATCATGTATATAGCATGGCAAGTCCTACAGAAGACACTAGCAACATTCGAGAAACATCATGTTCCAACCCGCCAATTCCTGCAGCTCTCGCAAAAGGGCAGCTTCTTCACTGGAGTGCTCCACGTGATGCACTCCATCTTGAAGAGTGGAACAACTCCCAAGAACAGATGTTGACATGTGATCAATCACCCCTAAACGTCTTCCACTTGTAACGAGCCCAGAACAGCTCAGGCCAACACACACACAACCTGCAGCTCAAAGACAATTGTTTGAAACCAGCAAATGCAGGCAGCCCCTTCAGTCCTCTCGACCCTTTGATGACTGCATGTGTATACGTTCAAAACTCAAACGGGTTCTTTGTTTTGACACGTCGTTTGAAGAAGGCAGTCATCAGGACATTGCCAAACACATTCCCAAATGAATTTTAAGCGTAGCAAAGCGTTCTAGCACGCATAACTACGCTTCAAACGTTGATTTTTTTGCACAAAAAGAGACCACGTGGGGGCATGTTTATACCCATATTTTTTTTTACGGGTAGGTACGGGTAAATTACGGGTGTGGTACGGGTTTGGTACGGGTTTGACATACCCGAGGTATGTATCAGAACCCGAGGTTTCATCACCAAAATTACGGAGAGGTACGGATAAGTTACGGGTATGGTACGGGTTGGGTACGGGTTTGAACCTCCACCCGTAATTTTTTCAGCAAAAAGTGATAAAGTGTTAACCAACTCTTGTTTGGACTATTGAAACACAAATGAAAAGATAGGGTTTTCTCATCAACATGAATCACTTGCATACTCATGAGTACAAACAGTTGAACATTGTTATACCACAGTGGTCTCGTGCAGTTTGATTGGCAATAACGTTTGCCACTCACGCGGTACAACCAAATGCTTGCACCGCCTTAAATAGTTGTACACAGGTATAAAGTCCGCAAACTGCCAGGTATCACTCTCTTCCCACCCAGCGGTTGTAAAGGTTTCAATCGCGGGTGGCAACAACTCTCTGGGTGGGAGCTGAGGTTGGCCTTCTGCCGTGGCTTTCATCTCCTCCACCAAGTCAACCACTGCCCTGGCAAAGGGCACTGGATAGTTCCTGGGCTGGATGTGGCCGTTGGGCAGGGTTGGCGTGCGATAAATCGAACAAAGGCTGCGTGCAACACAGGAATTTGCTGAGAAGCTAGCTCACAAAACCTATAAGATTACAAATTTATATATGAGGCTCTCTGTTCCACGGAGATGAACGGTCCCTTTGTATCTCAACTTTCCAGAACCATCCCGATAGCGATCGGCTGTCTTGATACCTGGATGCTTGGATTTCCAACCTTGCAACTTGCCCTTGTCGATCTTCAAGATACTTGCCGTGTTACTGTAACAGTAATGTCGTTTCGCCGTCTTCGAACTGTAGTGAGCCATCCACCACTTCACGCATTGGACCTGAGTTATAGTCGATGTTTATAGGATTCGGAGCTATAGGGTCTTTTCTACTTTTGTTTCGCAAACTTGAATGAGGCCAGGACAGAAGTTGTTGATCCACAGCTGAAGATATGTTGAATGACCTCCCTCCACACAGGATAAAATTCGAGCAAAGATCCAGAAGGTTGTTCTACACTCCATGCTCCTCCAAGTGCGGTCACCAATAGGACCAATGCACATGTCCTCCGGGTTTCTTAGGCCGCATGCCGATGCACTGTTACATGAGATCCCTGATACAAAAATGACTTTTGGGCAATGTACACCACCAGGATCGAGTTGACTCAGAACCAGAAGGGTTACCGCCGTTTCCATCCTACAAGATCCCACAAGCGTGTCCTTTCCAGCAGATTGTTGGCGATCTGCACTGACCGGTGCTCAGAGTGTCCGACGGGTCCACATGCCGAACGTCGACTGGTCCCAATGTTCATTTTTGAGAAGGATGCGCACTTAATGCCAAAATGGCTTGCAAAGTCACCAGGCTTTGCTCGAAGAAGAAAAAGAACGGCCAACCTGAGTACTACAGTATATATGCACAGTCAAGCAAAAATATCTCGATCTAACTCAAGTGAACCGGCGAAAATCAGAAATAGCCAAGAAACGCATATCCTGATGTATGAGTCAAATCCATGAAGTTCGAGTGTCTATTTGACGGTTGATTGTTGTCCAACAGGTCGAAGCGGGCCGACTTGTACTGCGCACAGTGCATAAATGTTGTCAACGCCCCTTTGCCTGCGTAGAATTCCAACCACTCGAACTCCTGGCCCATCTTTGCGACTTGCCAAAGTGTTTGGATTCAATTTTGTAGGCGAACTTGTTAGTGCTCATGGATCACAGGTTCTTAGCCTCAAAAACGTGCCCAAATGTAATGCACTGGTACCCAAAACTGTGTGTCTCAATGTTCGCTGGTGACCTGCTTGATGTCATACGTCCAGGCCAGCAAGAGGACGATCAGAACAAAGACCTGGAGATGCAGCTTGGGCTGATGTCATGCAGGCCACACGTTGTCAGTCTGGTACTTCACACCTTAATACCTGTATATACCTGCATATAATGTTTGACATTTGACAGCCGGATTGACACAATCAATCCTCACGCCAATGAACATGCATGGTTAGATCGATTTGTTGATTACCAAACATCTTTCCAAAAGATGCTCTGACATTTTGATGACTCCAAGACCAAGTTCTTTTTCTGAGTCTCCCACCTTCGGTGCGCCGAGCTGGCGGAGTCTCCACACCAACCCATCTATGTCAAGCATTGCGGACAAGTTCCAGGATTGTACAAACAAAGATATATGAGACCATGTTTGCACCATTTGTTTCGACTCATGTCTATATTCATGCCAGTACTGCCTTGAACACACGTCTCTAAAAGGTAGAGATTGCTGCGTGTCAGCAGGTTAATAAAGAGAACGGTCCAAGCAAGCCATGGTGGATGCAAATGTGAAAGCACAACCCAAGAGAAAGCCTTTTAGTTGAAGACGCAATCAACGCTTAGCGTGCATGAAGCATGCCGGATGCACGTTTCTGTTTCAATGTGTGGGCTCGCACTTGCCAAAGGCGATTGCGCCTTTTCAACGCCGCCGCGGATTGGTCCATGGCCTGGGCCGATTCAGGTTTCAGGACAGGAGCTGAAGCATCAATGGGCACAGGGAAAGAAGTGGGTGATGTTTCTCGATCTGCGGAATAGCTCGAAAAGGTCAAATGTCATATGCTTCGATCGATATAGATTGAATATATATCAACACTGAAGAGACAAGATCGCATATTGTGCAGCGCCTTTTTCTTCTTGAAGCTTTCGATTTCGCACATGTAACATATCTACGTGCGCACGCTAAAACCAGCCAACTCTCCAAAACCTGTTGGTGCCAGGCCTAGTCGAAACTACAGAAAACAACTTAAGAGTTTATAGAAACTGGAAACACCGTGTTTTAGTACTTTAGGGCAGCACTTGACCTTCCCCACAGTGCTTTTCAGGATGATTCGCTTTCACTGGCCTGTCCACCGCTATCAGGGCCCTATGCCGGCCGGTCACCCCATTTTATTCCCGATCTATAGTTGCCACTTAAATATATTTCAGCAGCCCACCAGATCAACAAATATTCCAGGTCATCAAGACTGTGATTATATATATACGTTTTGAACAGGTTCTTGGCAAAGCTTCAATATTATCTATTGGGCTCTGTTTCAAGAGCTGCCACTGCAAACGCCTTGCCCGGTGTGTGACTCCCACAAGTTGGATTCAACTTGACACCCGACACACTGTGCATGTAGCGCCGTCTATGTGGCAATGCTCATGTTGGGCAAGATCAGGTTCAACTTATTTGCCAGGTTCAGACTTGTACTCAAAATGAGCCAACCAATTCTTGGCAATCTCCTTCAACTTGTACATCGTTTCCTGGATGTTCATTTTGTCACCATCGCCCATATGCTCGACAGCACCACGCTTGGCAATCAACTCATCTGCGTAGCAGGCCTCGATTGATGCAGATATATGGACTCAAAAGTTGTTTTCATGTGTTGATCATTGAAGTATATACATGCAGTACATGTGTCGTTTCATATGTCTGCATAAATGACTGATGCACACAAAGAAGTAACATAACACATATATAACCGCCTCAATACAATATTAAGATATACAAGTGTGTGAAATGCTGGAGAGACGCCAGAAGGTCAGCAGCTTTCAACGTGGCGCCAGTCAACATTGTCTTCGAGTATGGATTATCGACGCCAAGCGAGATGTAAGACAAGTCCTTAGTGGTACCTCGCAACCTTAGTCCAACTGCTGGCCTTGTCCAGTAAACAGTCAGGGAGACTTCCTTGGTATCTGATAGCATGCTGCGCAAAAGTTTCCTGGTACTGTCATCTTCTTGCACACCCTGAACCTCTTCTAGGAATGTCTTGAACTGGTCATTGAGTTCATCGTCTGTCTTCGGAAATGAATTCTTGACAAATGAAGACTCGGCAGTCTGTCGACTGCGCTTGGACGGCTTGGATGGCTGCGGCTTGGCACTCTTTCCTTCATTGTTCTCAACCCTGCCACCGGTGGCGCTTGGTCCTGGTGCTGAGGCTGAAGAAGCTTGTGGCGCGGCTTCGGTTTTGGTCTTTCGCTTGTTTTGCTTACGTTGTTCTGTCTCAGGTGGTTCCGTGTTGCGCTTCTCATTCTTTGTTGTTGCTGGACGTTTTGTTCGTTTTGTTGGTCGTTCCTTCTCCATTTCATGCAGCTCCTTCAATGCCGCCTGTCCTGCCCACCACGCGGCAGAATCGTAGGCCCATGCTGGATCATCCCAACCACTCTTCCATGCACCTTTCCAATCATCATCTGTTCCCCACGCGGCCCAATCCTCATCGTAACCCGCCTGACCCTCCCAATCCTCCCACTCTTCTTTGGCTTGGGATTTGGCACGTTTGGCGGTTCGGGATGAGGCTGCTGCAGGACGCTTCAAGACTGGGGTTCTGCCCCTACCCCTACCCTTTCCTTTGCCTCCCCTGCCCCTGCCCCGGGACCTGCCACGACCTGTTGATGGACCATCACCCTGTTCCTCATCTAGCTTCTTAGCTCGCGACTGGAGTTGGGTATGTCGTGTCACAGACGGCTCATTTGGCTCCTGCCAGTGGGCCGTCAAAACGATTGCATTAATGTTATATGCTCAGCTCATCAATGACTGCATTGTGCACATTGCACTATCCATCGAAATCAAACATATATAAATGCGCAGAACATCACAGCACACACACGCATATAGAACACAGGTGCCTTTGCATCGTCACTGGGAGTAAAATCTTCAGCTTCCTTCACCTCCTTGTGTTTTGTATGGGTGCCTTCACCCGATGTAGAAACATCGGCGGGTGGGTCTGGGGGAGGAAAGAGAACTGTTGGCTCTTGCCTGGGAGCGCCTGGATGCCTTGTTTGGTATGCATCACGCCTTTCCTCTGCTGTGGTGGGGGGTGAAGGGATAGGCGGCCTATCATCGGGAACCTCAACCTCCATAATGTCACATGGTACCGTGTCCACTTGGTCAGGCAAAGTAGGCTGCTTGGATGGTGGCTGCATTGCTTTGTCCAGAGGTTGCCCTGGCGCTGGTGATGAGACAGAAATGCCCCTCAAGAAAGAATGCGCATATTTATAATACAGAAAACCATTATGATCAATTAGAACCCCATGTATACAATTGTTGCCCCCAGCCTTTGTCACCTTCCACGCCATGAGCAGATTGTGAAGGATTCACTTCTTTCTGCGCCTTCAGCCTCAAACAAACACACGTCGACTTATATACGCACACGTATACAAACAACGAGGGTACACAGTACACGGGCTGGGTGCAGCTTCGAGACTCTGCCAACCTCTTCAAAACACTTTCCCTACGTTTCTGGAGCTCTTCCTTACCTTCGCAGCGACAGCACCACCAAAAAACATGTAGACTTGAAAGAGATCATGTAAAATTGCTATAAGCCCTGTCATCATTTTGCCAAAAACATAAGCACATATAATAGCATGTCCCTCGCTTGGCGCATTTTAAAGTTGGTCAAAGGTACTGAGAGATGGTCGGTTTCCAGCACTGTTTGGGGTAGAACCTTTGTCTTCAGCAGAGGTTGGTCCACTGGATGGGCTCATCACTGCAGCGGCGTTGTTTCCCTGCTCAGGCTGGCTTTCTGGTACCACCTTGCTCACCTCAATGCCTTCTTGAGCGATGTTTTCCTGCACCTTTGCCTCAGGCTTGGTTTCCTCAGTTGGTTCCTTTACTTCTGCACTGGTTTCTTGTTGCATGTGTTCCAGCTGATCGGAGTGGTCTGCTTGCCTGGCGTCACCTGGACCGTCACCATGTGACTCTAAAGGGACCTGAGGATCATCTTCACGTTGCTCCTCTTCCTCACCCTCATCATAGTTGCCCTCAGCATCATCTCCGTAGGCATCTTCATCCTCGTCCTATGCAAAAACGGACATATTTAAATGCTGCATGCACTCTTAAAGACTTATTATAATCAATAAAGTTTTCATGATTGCACGCACTCATCATGTCCTGCTGTGAACTCTTAGCACGACGGGCTTCCCTCTTAGCGTTGACTTCATCCACATCGGCCTGATATGGTTGAGCATGGTTGCATGAACTTATAAATATCAGCATGTGCGCACATGATACAGCCCCCTAGAGTCACCACGCGAGCGTGAATACGGGTTTGGTATGAGTCTTCCCCTGCCTGAAGGTTGGGGTCAAGTTCAAGACACAGGGATTGAAATTCTGGTACCTTGTCGCTGCATATAATCAAAAGATGTTGCAAGCAGAGCCTATATAATATTACCACAAAAAGACGTTAAACAAACTTCGCACAACTGAAAATATCATAGCAATTTGACAGAGTTGCGACGGACACTTCATGTCTCCTCGTTTTCATCTTAATGAAGCCAAGCAATTTACGCAGATGCCATGCTATTTTGACCACATCAGCACCAAGATCAGCGCTGGATCCCATTTTGTTCCGGTTGAAGATCATTTCAACCTCATCACGCAAAGGATCGATGGGTGGTAGTGGCCGCGTCTCCAGCAAGCTCATCCGAGCAAGAAGTGGAAGTAAAAGAGCGTGGTCTTTGCTACAAGCTTGGATGCTCTCACCTTGACTTGGATCTGTCGCCATCAGGCGCTGCTCATCTCGTAGACGGCTGCGGATTTCATCCACATCATCCCAAATGGCACTGATGCCTTTC